TTGCAATTTGAGTAATAGAAAAATTGGTTGAGCCCTGAACAGTTTGGCTTAGCGGTTTGAGAATCAGCCTGCAGACTGAGCACTACCCAGTTTTGGGTTTGATTCCGGTCAAGGGCACATATGTCGGTTGCAGCTTGGTCCCTGATTCTGGTTGGGATCGTTCGGGAGGCAACCAGTCAATGTGTCTCTCTCACATTGACATCTCTTTCCCCCCTCCCACTCTGTTTGAAAATGAATGGAAAAATATCCTCAGGTGAGGAGGGAGGGAGGGAGGAAAATTGGTTGAGGTTCAGGTCTGCTGCAAGAGGTGATTATGGGTAACAAGACAGCTGCTACTACAAACATTCACTGCCCCGACCACCCACGACCCAACCACGCTTCTACTTTCTGTGAGTGCCACCGATATCATATCTTAAACTTTTCAAAGCTTCAAAACTTCACCTAAATTATCTCAGTTGACCTCAGAGCAATACCATGACATAGGCAAAGCAGGTATCATTCTTATCTTACTAACGGGGAACTGCACCGAAGGATTCATGGGTTAGCCAAGGCTACCGGGGAGAACTCCCATTGTTTCCCTGTCCTCTGGGCTTAGAACACTTGAAACCCTTTAGGACTCGGTCTGTCCCTGTATGCAGTAAAGCACCGATTCCTTTAGGTTGTTTCCTCAAAGCGTCTGTTTCCATTTCTTCTCCATTTCCTTTCCCACCCGCTGCCTGAGTTACAACTGGTGAGCTGGACTTGCAGATGCCACTTTTTTCCTCATTCCTGTCTACCCTGCATGATCCTTCTAGACTAAACTTCCTTAAACATTGCTTTCATTATGTCATTTCCCTGCTCAAAAATCTCTGTGACCCTCTCTGTCCTTCTACGTTGAATGGAAGCTCCTCTGCCAGGATTTCAAAGGTCTCCTTAATCTGAACTCACCTTTTCAAAACTACTCAAAGCAGGTGCTTTAAAAATAAAAATGGCTACCAAACACATGAAAGAATGTGCAAAGAAACGCAGATTAAAACAATGATCTTCATCTATAAAATTAGCAGTTTTGCCCTGGCCGGTTTGGCTCAGCGGTTAGAGCGTCGGCCTGCGGTCCTGAGAGACCCGGGTTCGGTTCCCGCTAAGGGCACGTACCTCGGTTGCAGTTTGTCCCCGGCCCTGGTCAGTTGTGCGGGTGGCAGCCACTCGATGTGTTCCTTTCACGTCGATGTTTCTCTCTCTCTCTCTCTGTTCCTCTCTCTCCCTCCCACTCTACCTGAACAAAAAATGGAAAAATGTCCTCGAGTGAGGATAAAAAAATAAAATAAAAATAAAATAAAATAAAATTAGCAGTTTTGTGTTTCGTATTTTTGGTGCTACTGCTCAGTATTGGCAGGAGGGTGATAAAATAGTCTTGTACCCTCTGCTGTTAAAGTGTTCACTGGTATGGCATTTTTGGAAAGCAATTTGGTTATGTGAATGAAGAGCCTTTGACCTAATCTGTTTCTGGAAATCTATACTAAGGAAATAATCTGAAATACAGAAAAACCTTTATGTCTAAAGATATTAACTGCACTATTATTTATAGTTATGAGCAATTAGATATATAATCTAATGCCAATCAACGTAATGAATAAATAAAATAAAATAAAAATAAAATAATACCCACACACAATGAATAACTATATTAAAAGTATGTAAGACCCAGCCCAGGGCCACCCCTCCGGCTCCACCCAGCCCCTGGCCTTGGTGGCTTTCTTCCCTGCCTCCACCCTCGGAGAGCTTTGCATGTCCCACTATCTGGGCAGGCAGTGGTGGAGGTGCCAGGCTTCCCGCTGCCTCAGGGCAGAGCACTAACCTGACCATGGGCACACCTGTGGCAGCTGCCCCAATAAAAGCAATTCCATTCCTTAAAAAAAAGTATATAAGAGCATGAGGAAATCCATTTGCTCTGATATTGGGGAGTGACTAATCAGTATTTAATAATTAAGAGAAACCTTACATTTCACTACTGAATTTGTTTACTTTCTCTACCAACACACCTTTCTCTCTCTCTCTGCAAAACTCTAAAATCCCCTTCTCTTCCTGAATTTAAATGGATAAGTACCACTTATTTATTGAGAATATATATCATCAAATTATCTAATTTACATGTCCCTTTATACTCTGCTATCCTTCCTGTTCAGATAAATTAACTATCGCTATTCCTACCCAAGGACAATTTGCCCACAGAATTCTATCCCCTCACTTCTTCAGACATTTCACTCCTGACATTCCTTGTGTTCCCTGATTATCAATTAACCTCTCCCCACCCCTCCTCAGACTTTTCCTATTAATACAAGAGTACACTATAAAATTTCACATTTTGAAAAAGAATTCATTCTTTGGCCTCAGGTTGTTCTTCAGCTACCTCCTTGAAAGTGTTCTCTCTTCATCATCTCCTGTTCCTCTAGGTGACATTAATCACGCGCTTGCTCCCACACATCACCGGAACGGCTCACTGTCACATCCAGGGTCAGTGTCTGTTCGCCTTCATCCTCAGCAGTACTGCAGAGCTGCCCTCTGTCCTTTGGGAATGCTTTCCTTGGGTTCTGAGACTCCCACGCTCCTGTTTTCTTGCCACCTCAGGGGCTGCTCCTTCTTGGTCACTGTTGCTGCTTCCTCTTCCTCTAAGTTCCCATGCTCACCCTTCAGACTTGCTCTCGTCTCTCTCCGGACTCTTGTCCAATGGAGCATACTTCCATCCCCATGGCCTCGCATGCCTTCTGTGTGTTGATTCCATGTAGCTGCCTCTAACCCCGCTCTCCTGCCTGGGCTCCCAGTGAAACCTCCTTTCAGATGTGTAATAGGCATGTCAACCCATGTGCAAAACAGAACTCTTTATTTCCCTCCCTCGAACCTGCTCCTCCACAGGAAAGGTACTACTATTCTCCCATGTGATTCAGCATTCAAATGATTAATGTATTACTCATTTTCATGTATAACATTCTAATCCATAAGCAAGCTGATTGGTTCTGCCTTCAAAATGATCCCCCCAACCACCAATTCTTATAACTTCCAACACAGTGTCTCTAGGACAAAGCCACATATCCTTCATGGACAACTTCAATAGCTAGCTAACTGTTCTCCCTGTTTCCACCCTGGTCCCCAAGCAGTCTTATAGCCCTCCACTGGCTTTCCTCTGTGATTAGAATGAAATCCTAACTCTTTACAGGGCTCTCATCTGTCTTGGTGTTTGTTGTACTCTAGTCACGGGAGTCTTTTCACTATTCCATAAACTCATTCTTGCCCCGGGGACATGATGTTTGCGACTCTCTACACCTAAAATGCCCTTTTCTAGACCTTCACATGGCTCCCTTTCCCATCTTTCAGGTGTCTGCACAAACGTCACCTGCTCAGAGACCTTCATGAAACCCACTATCTAAACAGTTTCCTCACCCTCCTTAACCCACGATCCCCTTGACCTGCTTTATTTCCTTCTCAGACTCTTTAGCTACTTGCTATTACATTATTTGTTTGTAATTCTCCAAAACCCTAATGTAAGCCCTTTGTAGGCAAGGATTTATTTGCCTTGCTTATTATTGTATCACCAGCATCTAGAATAGCACCTAATAATGGTAGGAGCTCAAAAAAATTTATTATGTGAACGAATCAACTGTGTCACAATATCTACTTAAAAGACTAAAGGAAAAAGATCTGAGGGATAAGATTGTAGGTTTGTTTGTTTTACATTTTCTTTATGCTTTCCAACATTTTTCAAATTGTCTAAATTGAATACATTGTAATCAGGAAGAATACAAACTATTTAAACTAACAGAATGTATCCACAGTCTGCTCAGGCCCATTTGTCACTCTCCCAGAACAAGCACTCAGTGCCTGTTCATCTCAGCGTGGCGCCTGCCTTTCTCCGTTCGCCTCTGCTCACCCTTTAAATCCCTAGGCCAGCCTCCTTCATTCCTCCATGCCGCCTGCCCTGAGTATCCCGACCCCTGCTGACCTCCCTGCCTGCCCAGATTTTGCATTTAATTGTGTATGCTGTGCCACATGTATTCATTCCTATTCAACACTTTTTGTTTGCTGGTGTAGGTGTGGGTCAGAGAGAGAGAGGATATGTATATGTGTGTGGCATGAGTTAATTGTCCGTCCTCAGCAGATACCATCTTAGCCTGCCCTTCCCACACACTAGTCTCTCACATAGACGAATGAATGGCAGAGTGATCACTCAATAAATATGTGGTGATAGCACTTGGTGTTGAAGCTGCTGAGCCTCGGAGCCGGGTCTGGAGACTCCTGGTGCTCCCATGACACCACACTCCATAGTGATACTTCAGCTTCTACTTATCACACACTTTCTATGTGCCAAGCACTAACCATTCACGTTCCATTTATGAAATAGAAACTGCTTTCACATTCATCTTAAGACCGAGGAAACTGAGATGCAGAACGCTTAAGTAACTTGTCGAAAGTGACAAAACTTGGAGCATAAGGCCTAGATGAAAACAGAGCCAAGCTCCCTGCCACCGTGTCTGATGAAACATGGTTTCCTTCGACCCCTAGCCGCGGACGTGCTTTCGTTCCAACTGCGCGCTCTCGGTCAATCTGTTTCCACGTTGCTAAAATGGAGACCATAATACCTTACAGATGGTTCTGAGCTCAGGAGAGAAAGCGTCTCCCGTCTTGCCCAGCACGCAGCAGGCACTGAGCAAATCACAGTTATTGTTAGAAAGGCTCCGGGATACCTGCCCCTCCGAGTTCGGCGTGGCAGCCCCATCATTTCTTCTGCTCAGTGAATGGCCCTGGTCAGATGCATCCCCGAAGCTGGGGGTTAGAGCACCAATGGGGTGGTGAAGGTGCTATTGAAAAGCCTGGACCAGGAAAAACAAATAAGCAGCCCTGCCCCAGGTTAGCCCAGGCTCGGATTTCCTTGTCTGAATGCATAATGATAGGAAGGGGGTTGTGTTACAAAAGGAGCTGTTTTTGTTTGTCACCCAGGCCCACTAATCTAAACATCTCTCACTTCTCAGGAATTATTTTGGGACCAGGAAGCAGCACGCTGTTTATTGAAAGAGTCACAGAAGAAGATGAAGGCGTCTATCACTGCGAAGCCACCAACCAGAAGGGGTCCGTGGAAAGTTCAGCATACCTCACGGTTCAAGGTAAACAGCCGCTTCAGAAAGCTACCAGAAACTGCTCAGACATCTATTTCCCTGTTTGTTTAACTTTTCACCTCCCAGTCTCCTGCTGCCCCTCCTGTCTGTGCCTGTCCCTGGCCTCCTACCCCTGCGCCTGCTCATCTGGGAAAGCCTGTCTGCTTCCACTCGGCAGGGCGGAAGGTGAGGACACTGGCTGGCCACCCTTGAGAGCCCCGGTGGAACACAGGCTCCGGGGCAAGGTGGGAGGCTAGTTCCCGGAAGAAAGCCAGCTGCTGCCAGCACCATGACACTGGCCCACATTGTGACGGGGTGGCCACACCTGTGAGGAAGAAATCCAAGACGGAAGATGATGAGCGTGGATGGGGAAAACAACCACACACTGGAAACTGTTCATTGTTTTCCATTTCCAATTCCCACAAGTTAGACCGAACTTCCCCATTTTTCATAGGCTGCTGTTTAACACGAAGCAGCTACATCTCAGAAAGAAGCAACACAGTAAACAGACCACATGGACTTCAGATTGTGTGTTGAGCAGCAAAATCCAAAGAGGCCAAATCCTATGCTGGGCTGTGGCCATTTGGCTTCCATTTAGAAAATAGTTTAGCCCTCCGCTTCAATTCTCCGATACCAAGAATCACCCCAAACAGCAGTTACAGCATCATACATTACTAAGTTGGCCCTCTTACGTGTAACTATCTGTGACACTGAGGGCTCACATGTGACGAGGGGATCTGTTTAGTAGCCCAGTTCCAGATGTCCCCAGTAGACTTCAGAATATGTACGTATTTTGCGGGGAGAACCTGGCAATATACACCAGTTCTTTTGCCCTGGAAACTTCCAGAGCTTACAGGTCGTAACTCTGAGATTTCAGACACCTTTAAAAAAGAACACCAACCTCCTTTCACAAGGAAATGATTTTAGAGTTTCCTGAAAAATCTGAAAGTACGCTTTCAGAGAAAGTCGGGGGCAGCGTTCCCACACACTTTCAGTGGTGGCCTTTTGTGTCTCCCAGATAATCCTTGTTTTAAAGTATTATTTCAACTTTTCTGCTTACACAGGGATAAAAGGGTTTATTAAGTGTGAATCTCTCCTTAACACCTCCTTCTTCAAAGGACCGTTAATGTACCACTTAACAAGGCCTCCAGAGGGGACTCTCAGGGGCGGCTGCAGCAGGCCAGGGAGGGACCCCATCTGAGACAGGGGTAGCAGCAGAGAGCAAGGAAGACACCCAGTCCTCAGTCCAGAAGGTATTTCCCCCATAGCCTCACAACAGCCCTGCAGCACACATACAGCAGTTCTTACAGAGCCCGGAGAGGAATGAAATGACCACCTAAATGGTACGGCCATGGAATGCAGATTTACAATGACCTCCAACCCACCACAGTGCTGCCCTCCCTTGCCAGGTGTGGGCACCCGCTTTCTGCCGAATGTGGGTTGGCTCGGCTGTGAACAGAGCCTGGGAGGTCTTTTGTCTGGGCTCCTCCCTGTTTCATCCAAACCCTGCTTATCGTGCAGGCCAGTGGAGATGCTGTCTGTCCTGTGCTGTCCTCCAGGGCAGCAGCCGAGTCAGACGTTCTCACGCTCTGCTCTCCACACCACAGTTCCTGAGTCTTTAGCCTGACTCCTTTCATTCTGCATTTTGTTATTATTTAGTCACTGATATGCTTTTCTTCCCTACTGAATTGGAAACTGTGTCTGACGTATCTTTGTATCTCGTACCCATGCCCAGCACTTAGCAGGAGACTAATATATCTTGAGTACCTTTATATGCTAGACACTTGATACACTTACCCCTTTAACTTCCTAAGAGTCCAAAGAAGTATGTGGTATTATCTTCAGTCTATGCCCTGGCCGGTTTGGCTCAGCGGTTGGAGTGTCAGCCTGCGGTCCAGAGAGACCTGGGTTTGGTTCCCGCTAAGGGCATGTACCTCGGTTGCAGTTTGTCCCCGGCCCTGGTTGGGTCGTGCGGGTGGCAGCCACTTGATGTGTCCCTTTCATGTCGATGTTTCTCCCTCACTCTCTCTTCCTCTCTCTCCCTCCCACTCTATCTGAACAAAAAATCGAAAAATGTCCTTGGATGAGGATTAAAAAAAAAAAAAGAATGGCAGCTGCTTCCAAACTCTCTGTTTAAAAACTGTGTTCACCGAGGAAACAGATTAGCTGACCTGGAACACGGTGCCCATTTCTGAGGGGAGCATAGGTCAATGAACCATAGTCCTCACAGGGGCATGAGACACATTGTAAGGCTATGAGGATAGTTAGTCTAAAAAGGAGACGACTTTGGCTGTCATGATCGTTTCCTTCAAATACTGAAGGGGTTTTCAGGCTGAGGAGACATGTAGTTCACTCTGACACACCAAAGGAGAACCGAGGGAGCGAGATGGAGGCCTCAAGGCAGCAGGCTTCAGCTCCCTCACGGAGCTCGTCATTCTGAAGGGGAACTTTTTTGTTTTTGAAAGTTGATATTACGTGGGTCTTATAAGTCAGAATCTCAAATGAAAGTACTTCGGGCTCACTGAGTAAAAACTGGATCCTTGGATGCTGGTCAGAACGGCTGAATGCAGTACCTGCTCGGTAAGTTGATCACTGACATTATATTCCTGCCCTAGAGTCTAAGGCATTATTCTTCTCACCCTGGTGACTGTGAGACGCCCCCTGGCTTTGGCCTGATTTCCTGATAGATGCAAATAGACCCTTCCCACTGACCTATCTTGTCAGGTTGAGTTTAGGAAATGAAACCAGGCGAGTAAGTTGTGTCTGTGGCTATGTTTAACAGATTTGAAGAGGTTCGTGAATTAGACAGGAAGGAAACTGTCTGCTCTTTTTATTTCCTTTGAAAAAGGATTCTTATACTCATAGATAAAACAATGTGTTATTTTTGTATCTGAAAAGGATGAGTGGACTGTGGAGTCAAAGTAGCTTCTTTAAATAATCATGGGCCTTGTTTGGTTTGGACCGCACACAAGCACAGCTCTCAGAGAAGACGTTCTAATATTAAAAACAACAACAAAACCGTTACTAACCAAAATAATTTTTGGAATTAACATAGCCTTCAACAGCCCATGGAACTCAGTGGGACTGTTACAATGAAAGTGTGGTGCATTTTTATCCAGGGACTTAAGATAAACTGTATTTCGTAATTATTATTGAAAGTAATAATCACAGTATGTATAAACACATCGTTACAACAGATTTCAGCCTTGCTATTGAAATGCTATTTCTATCGCATTTATAATTACTCAGGAGAAAACAACTTGAGGAATAACTACCATTTTAAACATTTTTTGAGGATGACTGAAACAAAAATCATGACAAGCATGGGAAGACTGCCTCAGGGTCCTGCAGTCCCAACACTTGAAATGACATTAAAGGTGTGATTTGTAAATTTTGTGCCGCAATAATTGTACATTAACACATTTCAGGAAAGGGTTCATACAGCAGGAAGTGCACGCTATGTTTAATAACATTCCAAGAGTAAAAAATAGGAAAAGATCAAAACAGAAGTGTCTTGGACACCCAGCCACTCCTTATCACCTTTGGCCAGCTTTCGGTTCTCCTTTCTCCTCTGGTCCCCAACTGCCCTCCAGCCCAGCTCCTCTCTTCCTGACTCTGCCCCCATCCCATCCCATGGCTCTCCTGGCACTAGGAAGGATGTGATCAACTAATTCACATGATGATGTTGGTGATTGGTGCTGGTACTTCAGAAGGGTTTCCCAAGGAGAAAATAGTGCTCCAAACAGAGAGCTGAACTGACTTCACAGGAGGCCAAGGGATGGGATATGGCTGTCTTTGACTGCAAACATACAATGACATAAAGCTATTCTTGATCAGAATTCAAAAAATGATGACGGAATTAATTCAGTTATAATACCCTATGCTTATTAAACATGCAGTGAATTCTTTAAAGTACATAAAGTGCACCTACTTAGACATCTTCATCTAATGAGGATTTTCTCTATTTACACGTGAGAACCTGAGGCTCAGAGGGGTGGAGGACTCTGTCCAGGGTGACTAAACGAGGTAGCGGCAGAGCTGAGAACTGGATCCGTGCCTAAGCACCTGCGCGATTCCCTCTTGGCTCCAAGGCAGCAGAGCTGAGTGGGGGAGGGGACCCCCTCTGAAGCAAGGTGCACCATTTCTCCTGAACTGTGTAACCTTGGGCAAATTACTTACCTCCCTGGTGCTTCAGTTTGTTTATCTACAAAATAGACGTTAATAATGGTAATCCAACCCGGCTGGTGGCTCGGGGGACTGAGCAGTGTCCCAGGGACTGAGAGGTCCCCGTTCAATTCCCGGTCAGGGCACATGCCTGGGTCGCAGGCTCGGTCCCCAGTAGGGGGCATGCAGGAGGCAGCCGATCCATGCTTCTCTCTCACATCGATGTTTCTAGCTCTCTCCCTTCCTCTCTCTATAAAAAGTCAATAAAAACATATTTAAAAAATAATAATAATGGTGCCCTGGCTGGTCTTGCTCAGCGGTTAGAGCATCGGCCCACGGACCAGAGAATCCCAGGTTCAGTTCCTGCTAAGGGCGCATACCTTGGTTGAAATTTGTCCCTGGCCCCGGTTGGGGTCGTGTGGGTGGCAGCCAGTCAATGTATCTCTCTCACATCAATGTTTCTCTCTCTTCCTCCCGCTCTATGTGAAGATAAATGCAAAAATGTCCTCGGGTGAGGATAAAAAAAGAAAAGAAAAGAAAAATAATGGCAATTCAACCTTATAGGGTTGGTGTAAGGATTAGTACATTTAAAACAGTATCTGGCATATAACAGAAATTTAAAATATTAGTTAACATCAATATTTGTTAATATGATAAACCAAATCCTATTTCAACAAAACCTATGTTGTAGTTTTCCTAGTCACCCAAATGGTGTTCCAAATCACAAAATTCCTATTGGACCTAAGGATTTAACTTGCTGCACTAAAAGTGTGTTACAGAACTGAAGAACATAAAAGCAATTTTAAATATGCTTACCTAAAGTTACTCTTGAAAATGTACTTCAAATTTAATCCTAATACAGTACTTCCACATATCACTGTCCTTCAGAGGGTTCCAAATTGGTGTACATAAATTGGTGTCCTAAAACACTTCACAGACAGTATGAAGGCCAAGTTTAATATTCTAATAAGCCTTAGAAAAATTGCACCATCTTGGAACCACAAATCATATGGGAGTGATGTCCTGAGACCCTGTACTAACTCCTAGTCACTGTCAAACCCCACCCACCTTTCCGCTGGCCTCCCTGTGCCTGCCCTGAGCAGCTGGGCTATTCCATGCACTGCCGTCAGCTGTCATCAGCAAGCTCACGCTGGGTACAGTCAGGCTAGTGGGTGGATGTTTGACCTCTGAGAAAACATCTAGAGCTGTAAAGGAAGAGATGTCGCTGACTTAAGCCTAAGGTCATCCTAATGGTTACTTTTCAAATAAAAGACAGATATTGAGCTATCAGATGAGACAGAGTACAGAACCATTACATCTTGTAAAATTCTTATTTTAGTATTCAGTAAGCAGGAATAGATTAAATAGGTCTTTCCTTTCTAATAAATGTTAAATGTGTAAGTGCACACAAACACATGAGGAATTTTGCCTGAGTAAGGACTGTGGAATTACTTTGGGGGTCAGCTTCCTGCCCCTTGGAATGCACTGGGAACATTCCTGCAGTGGGAGGGGCCTGTCCCAGGGCACTCCATGAAGGAGGCATCTGCAGAGGTTTTATGCAGACGGGCCTCCCTCCAGATACTATCAGCATCTCCAACAGCCAAAGGGCACTGTGCCCTCAGCAGGGCCCAATCAGATTCCACAAAACTTATTTACGACATAAGCAAAGAAGTGTGTGTGTGTACAGGAAGGCAGCATCAGACCTCTCACTGTGGGGGCTGAAACCCAAACTTATATTAACTTGAGCTTACAATATTCCCATGTAGAGGATGTATATTAAGAAAAAAAGGCAATCATACTTGGAAACTTCTTCAAGGAGGTTATTCTCAGTATCATGAGGTTCAGGGAAACTGAAGGAAGCCAAATTCATTATTCACTCCACTAATATTTGCAGGATGCCTACTAGGTGCCAGGTATTCTTTTAAACACCAGAGAGGTATTGTGAACCACAGAGAACCACAGTCCTACAGCCTGCTTCTTCATTCTGAACTCTGAACATACTTACTAGTTGAACATACCTACCAGTTCAGACCTGAACACCAGACTGTGAGCTCCAGGCCATGCCCTTTTATTTACCACTATACACCAGCACCCAGAACAGAACATGGGATACAGGGGTGCTCCTATTGGGTTAACATACATGAACAGGAATTTGACCCCGAATGCTTTGAAAGCTTCATGAAACTCTTTGGAGACAAAGCAAAACATAATATATCCACTAATTCACCCATCTGATGAGACAGAGGTAAATAAGATGTGGCCTCAGCCTCCGGAAAGCTTTCATTCCAGTAGAGAAACAGCAAAGGCCAAAGCATAGGGGTGCAGAAGGGCTGGCACAGTTAAGAAACTACAAGTGTTTTGATGTGACTGGAGCAAGCAGGAGGATAGCAGGAGATGAAGCTGAAGAGATGGGAAAGGTTGGGCAGACAGATCTAAGGATTTTTTTTTTCATCCTGACAGTGACAGGGGAAGGTAGGGTTGGGGGGATGACAAAGATGGAATTTAGGCAGAGGAGTAATAAGATTACATTTGTGATTTGGGAAGATCACTCTGGCTACAGAGTGGAAGAGAGACTGGAGGGAGTTAAGGCTGGCTAGGAAGGTACTGCAGGTGTCCAAGTGAGAATTGATGAGGACTTGATTTAAGCAATGATTGTGAGGAAGGACAGGAGGTGACAATCCCATGAGCCATGGAAGTGTTGTCGGTGGAAGTGGAGAAAAAGAATTTCCTGAAGCCCTCATGGGAGGATAGGATTTCGTGGAAAGCCTTCCTGATGATGTAAAATTAAGGAGGTTCCCCTCCAAGGTCCCATCTCTGTCCATCTCACCATGAAAGAAGGCCAACTGTGTCTCCAGCAGGGCCAGAACTAAGGCCACTGCCCATAGTTTCTGCTCCATATTTGCACAGTCCAGCCCAGCATCTGGCTAGCTCAGCACGTTCCCAGCTGTAGTCCATTGCATGTGGAGTTCGCATGGCTATGGGCCACGTGGCTACTTAAGGTCACATGGCTATGGAGAGAGAACATGTGAGTGCATGGGTCATGGAGCAAAAGAGAAGAGGAGCAAGAGAGTGAGAATTCTTGGTCTGGGGATTTTAACCAGGAGCTTCTTCAAACTGGCCGATTAACTCTCCAAGATTTTGCACACTTCTGATGGGCTTCACCCCTTAGCCAATCCATTGTTCCCAGGCTAGACTGACAGGCAAGCACCTCCCCTGGGCCCCCCGACTTCTACTGCACATGTGCCTATTTCCCCCTTCTCCCCTCAACAACCCAGTCCTGGAGGGAGGGTGTCCATCCCTTTGTAGGGACAATGCTGTGATTTTCTGGGGGTGAAGCTACAGCTTCCTGGTGAAACAAACAAGCTTATGCTTCCCAGCTGAATATGCTCAACTATAGCTGACTTTCCCTTTGCTCTCTTCCTTGATTAATATTAACCAGCCAATTACAATGACAACAGAAGTAGAATGGGCAGAACCTTGTGATGGACTGGATAGAGAGAAAATGTCAGTTTTCCCTCTAAACTAAAAGATACCCCGTAGGGACTCTGGCCTACAGGAAGTATATGTACTTGGTGGCTGAATGGATAAGAGAGGAGGAGGGGCTCAGGTTTCTAGCTGGTTATTTGCTGTTGTTCGAGGCAGAGGACCTTCACACTGATGCTCAGATTCTCTGTGGTCTGGTCTTGCCCTGGGTCTTCCATTATATTGCCATCAGTCCCTTACCATTTCCCAACGCTGAGTCTTAACTTATACTGTCCCTTCTGCCTTACAGTACCCTCTCCTCTGTCTTCACCTCATTAGGTCAAATCCAGTTCAAATGTCACCTCTTCAAAAAAATGTTAGATTCCTTCGACCTCAGATACTCTTTTTTTAATCTCATTTCTTTGTATTTGCCTTAAGTTTGTTGGTTTGGTTGAGTGAGGGCCTTGAGAGGGACAACTTTCCCTCATGCATCTTCCTATCCCCTCCAGCCTGGACCGTCCCCTGGGGGAGGACTCAATACATCGTTGTTGAATTGAAACAAAGAGCCAATAAGATGACGCACTCATCTATGAAATGGGGATAGTGTTGCCACCTACTTCATAGGCTGGTTTTGAGGGCTTGGCACATAAGTGCTCAATAAACGATACCATCCATACCATCATTTCTAAAAGGAGTACATTTTACTTATCTTTGACCTAACTTAATACTAAACCTCTGTATCCCTTTAGTGAAGTTAAGGGATAAGGGCATTATTTCAGAAATTCCTGGGAAACTGTCTACTGGAGTCAATAAGTAGGAAACCACTCTTCTGGTCCACTGGGGCCTTCCTTTACAAATCCCAAAATTCCCTCTCTGGAGGCTTCTCTTGAATATTTTGGGTCTTTTCTTTCTGGTTATGGGGGAACAGTGCTCAGCTTTTGATCTGTGATTCTGGGCAATGCGGTGACTGGGAAGAAACCCACTCCAGCAGCTACCTCTTCTCGCGGAGCCTCAGATGTGGTGCGTGCGTGATGGGGTGACTGGCTTGGCTGCTCTAAAGGACTGAGCAGGCAACTGTGACAGTCCTTGAGTTTTATTTTTATTTTTTAAATATACTTTGAAGAATTTTGTGAGTCCCAAAGGAGCCCTTTTATGTCATTTTTCTTTTTCTTTAGAATTTCCTCTAAAACCCATTAGGGAGATTTAACATATTCCAGATTTAGCACTTTAATGGGCTTTTGTTCCTGCCATAATTTTTTCCAATTTTTAATTTCTCCTCTGATTTTTAATTAGCTATTTCTGGGATTATGATGTTTGCAAACTCAACAGTAAAATTTCTGGAAAGCCTTGCTTGACGTGTGAGTTTATAACAGCGTGGACCCTGCGTGGACTAGAAGGGAAGGGAAGGTCTGTCCCAGGCATGACTTCTTGCCCAGCAGGCCGCCCTCGCCGTGCTGTTTGGGGCACTGGGCCTCTTTTATAAGATCACAAAGACCCTGAGTGAGAGAGCTGCTGTTTAGCACCATCTCGGTGTTTTTGTCTTTCCAGGAACCTCAGACAAGTCGAACCTGGAGCTAGTCACTCTGACGTGCACCTGTGTGGCAGCAACCCTCTTCTGGCTCCTACTGACTCTCTTTATCCGCAAATTGAAAAGGGTAAGAACATTTCAGATGAGGTCTGTGCTCCTTTTTACGTAATATTCTAAAATGCTCACCTGATGTCTGGAACAGGCACTAAACATGTTAGGCCCTCTTCTTCCCCTTACCTCTGGTTCCCACCCTGACCTGTTGAACACTGGAAAGTGAATCATTAAAACCATAAAGTGAGGTATTCAAAAGAAAAGGCTGGAGCATTGGACAGATGAGTATCTCCCAGGGACAGAAAGGATATTTTTGATACACAAATATATAATAAATTCTTTCAATTAAATTCTGCACGAGACCTATGAAGCCTTAATCTTCTTAACCTTACTGTCTGCTAAGAAACAAAAAGGAAAACGAAGAGCCCCCTCCGACTGCCTCTCAGCACCGCAGCACAGAGATGTGCACTGCTGTTCCAGACTCCCTGAGCTGTGCCCAACCCGCTCTTCCAAGTGTGGGGTTCAAGCTGGACTTCAGGACACCAGATTTCTGTAATTTGGCCTGTAGCACGACTCGTTTCTCTGAAGTTCAGTGGAGAAAGAGCCAACACTTCTTCCTTCAAGCATGCCTCAAACATTGACCATGTGCCTGCTCCGTGCAGGGGGCCAGGCCCCGTGAGGCTCCCTGATGGCAATGGGGAGCAAATGCCACAGTGTGCAGTCGGGGGCTTTGATCAGGTACACAGGCAAATGCACAGTGTGCCTAGCGTGAGCTGACTACCAGATGCGTGGGAGGGGCAGGCAAAGGAGGAGAACACGTTGCAGGCAGAGGGAGCGTGTGTGGGCTGGGCAGGGCCCATGAGAACAGTGGCTGATAGAGGCCAGTGTGGTCGCAGTGATGGAAACAAGGAGGACAGGCTGCGATGCCTGACCAGGCAGGGCTTCGGGCTGCAGTAAGGAACTTAGTCTGTATTCTAGAAGTAACAGGAAGCCCTGGGGCAAGGAGGCGATTGAGTATCTATAAGTGTGAGAAATTTGTGTCTGATTATAAGGGTAAGAAATGTGTGTCTGCAAAGATTATTTCGCCTTCTGTGAGGAGAATGGACCATGGGGGCACCTCATAGAAGACTTGACAGTAGTCCAAGGAGGAACTGACGGTAGCTCAGTGTAAATGATTAGAGTCGAGAGATGTAGGAGGTAAAATCAGGAAAACCTGAAATGTGTCAGAGGCCTGCTCAATGTCTAGAAATCTGTTAGCCCTAATTAATGTACCAAGCCTGGGGGAAGCCTCGGTTAATCCTTCAAAAACTGTACAGGTAAATGTATTGTTAGTGCCATTTTATAGAAAGAGAAAACGAGGCTCAGGGAATTAAAGTGACCTGTCCAAAGTCACACCACTAATTAGAGTTAGAGCTGAATTCTGCAGCCAGGCTGTTTGACCTCAGAGTAGATATTCAAAACCAGTAATGTGTACTTCACAGTGTTAGTAGTGTTAGTATGACAGGCAAGGTTAGCCCCCATCCTCTACAAGGAACATGTAGCTGCCAGGCTGGTGAGGCTCAGTGACTGAGCGTCGACCCTCCACCAAGAGGTCGCCAGTTCCCAGTCATGGCACATGCCCAGGCTGTGGGCCCAATCCCCAGTGGGGGGCATGCAGGAGACAGCCAATCGATGTTCTCTCTCATCGATGTTTCTGTCTCTCGGTCTCTTTCCCTTCCTCTTTCTCTAAAATAAATAAAGAAAAAAAAATATTTTTAAGAAAAAAAGGAGTATATAGCCTCGGCTTCTGCTACATGGAGTGGCTGGCTTTGAGACAAGCCTGCTTTAGAAGGAACAGCAAACAACAGTATTTGAAGGGGAGACACATCATATAGGGAAAGAGATCTAACAAAAGAAAAACTTGCCAAATCTGTGAGGGGGGTATAAAGACTAGATAGGAGTTCAAAGGAGGAGAATGGGAGAAAAAACTTCAGAGAAAGAAAAGTTTAGAGACAGACTTTGAAGGTTGTGACAGCCCCTCCTCCCTCAAACTCCCCAGGTTAGGGAGGGAGTCCAGTTACTTTGACTACAGGAGCATAGTGGAAATAAAACAGGAAAGGCAAACTGGACCTAAATTGAGTGGGTCTCTTGTACTTCTAAAAAAAAAAATCTATGAAATTGTGATGTCGGTAAGAAAGGATGAGCGCAAGTAACAGAATGCCTATAAAAATCTGACAAGTGATCGGATGTGGGAGGCAAAGAGGAAAAAGGCATCAAAAACTCTTCATGAGGTTTCTCTAACCACAGTGTAAACTCCTCATGGATAAAGACTATCTTTTTATCTCCACTCTGCATGAGCCAGTGTTATAATTATAGCCAACATTTATTGATGCTTACTGTACACCAGGCCCTGCTTTAACAGCTTTACATGGATTATTTCATTTGATATTCACAACAAGCCTATGAGATAAGTACCATCATTACCACCATTTTACAGATAAGGCAACTGGGCTTAGAAAGGTTCAGCAGTTCGCCCATCCTTACGTTCTGGTCAGATGAGCTGATTCAAATCCAGGCATCAGCCTCAAGGTCTGGGCCCTGAAGTGCTTAACTGTGCAATTTTCATGCCCAGTAGCTGCTCAGTGTTAATGTTAGTTGAAAGAGTAAATATTTGTCAACTGAGATTCCACTATCATACTCTCCTCAATGCTCTTGGGGTTTTTGCGCGCGTGCGTGCGTGCGTGTGTGTGTGTGTGTGTGTGTGTGTTTCCTCTCATCTGCCTTGCTGAGATGACCATAAATTCCACAGGTGCCACATGGGGAGATGGTCTTCCATTGCCTGCTCCCCACCTCTGCCACACTGCTGCCAATAGCCCCCGCCCCAAGCATCCAGAACCCAAGATGTCCCCTGCCAGGCTCAGCAATCCCATGCTCTCTGAAGATGAGATTGCTTCTCGTAGCCTTGGCTATGTCGGACATTGAAAAGTTTAGTCATAAAACCTACTCGAGCTGCTTCTCTACTGAACACCTTGCACCCTGTCATAGGAATCCATACTCCTCTGCAGTGTCAGACTTGCACGGGTGTCTGACGGGCTGGGCCCTTACAGTCTGACACCAGTGGCAAAGGCAGTTGGTGACAGCCGTGCTCCATATCTTTCTCTGTTCTCCATTCCTTATGGAGGCCAGGCAAATCTTTCTGCCTTGAGCTATCTGTCACACATTTTAGTGATAATTTTTGTGAGAAAGAGACTGATTGCGAGTGATGGATGAGGTGAGCTGTGACAGCCCAGAACAGGGAGTCAGGGCTGAAGAATGTGGGTGGGTGTGAAATGGTGTGTATGGAGAGGTTGTCTTCTCTACCGAACTCTGATCTGGTTGAGGGAAAGGCACTGAAAGGAAGGACCCTAAAATGCATTTAAATGAAGTGTACATAACTCTGGCTAGAGTTATCAAAACGCACCTTATATGGGTAAGCATACTTCCTTCTGTCCTGCCCACAGAAATGCAGTCAATCCTATGATTAACTAACAGGAAATACACCCATGGATGTGACCTGAAGACACTAAATGTAAACCCTGTTATTTATGAACTGGAATGTAGGGTGTTTTCTGGGCTTGACTTGCATTACTGAGATAAAATAAGCACCTGAAGCAGAGGTCCGCCGGTCTTATTTGATGTCCTACCGATGGTCAAAGGAACTGGGGATGAATGTTGCTGTGTGTAAGCCTTACACCTTGGTATTTGAAATAATCAACTTCTATTTGTTACTGAAGGTAAATCCTATTCTAATCTCACTAATGGACCCTTTAGTCTTTTCAGGTAGCCACACTGAGTAAGTGGCCAGGCCTTCTGAGTATTTTTAAACGCTTCATGTGCAATGTGCCTCCAGGCTATCCCAGGGAGAGACCCTGGGCTTGCTTTGCCGCCTCTGGCCTTTCTTGCAAATGTACAAAAGCCACAGTCATGGACCCCACTGTCAGCCCATCTGTAATGTATATTCCTGCTTACACAGAATGGCCACAGAAAGTTATTTTTAGTTACTGTGTGGAATGGCTTTATTAAAATGTTTTGCATTTTTTAGAGGACTGTCATAGGCTAATTGTTTAAGAACAAGCAATAAGGCCGCTGGGAAATCTGAGTGCACTTCGTCTGGGACAGCACCAGAGAAATGCAGGGTGGGGACAGTGCGGGCCGTTTAACAGGCACCGCATGTGTGCCAGCGGTACCTTCTGGGCCCGACCATATGGTTTTAACCAAATGAGCCAAAATAGCAGCAGCTATTGCCAAGTATTGTTTTAAATTGAACGTCAGGGGGTTGTAAAGTTGTTTCCTCTTTGATGACTTTGAGATCTCTTTGTTTCTCAGTCTTCTTCTGAAATAAAGACTGACTACCTGTCAATTATAATGGACCCAGACGAAGTTCCCCTGGATGAGCAGTGTGAGCGGCTCCCGTACGATGCCAGCAAGTGGGAGTTTGCCCGGGAGAGACTGAAACTGGGTAATGTATTTGTTCAACAGGCTCCTAAACCCATACTGAGCACCTGCTACATGCAAAAGACTGCGTGGAAAGAAGCAAGATAGGCTAGACTCGGGACCCTACCCTCCGGCTGCTCACAACCTAGCAAGGGAGGTGGACACAGAGGCATATGAGGCTATGAGAATGCTGAGAGGACAGTTCAGGGGACAAGGAGCACCTGTTCATGCCGTCAGCAATTACCAAGCACCTTCTCTGAGCAGCAGACACAAAGTATTTAAAACTCTTCCCTCTAAAGAGATCACCATGAAAGTAGATTAAGTGGCCCTGGCTGGGTTTCTCAGTGGTTAGAGCATCGGCCCAAGGACCAAAGAGTCGCAGGTTCGATTCCGGTCAAGGGCATGTACTTTAGTTGCAGTTCGGTCACCGGCCCTGGTTGGAATCATGCGGGAGGCAACCAATCGATATGTCTACATCCATGTTTCTGTTGTTCTCCCCCCACTCCCTACTCTATCTGAAGATAAATGGAAAAATATCCTCAGGTGAGAATGTAAAAAAAAAGTACTTAAGTGAAGGGAAAGGGGAAGACATTAGTTCCATCAGGAGCCTTACTCTTAAATAATGACATTTTTGAGGAGTTAGAAACGTATGACTTAGAACACAATTCAGGATGACAAGGAAGAATAAAATCAAACATTTGGTGAAAAAGTTGGTACTCTTCAAGGTTGTGGATCAAAAACCACTCTGCACAAATCCACCAGTTACATACTGAATTTCCCTGGGTGTTTAAAATGACCAGACAGCCCTCGCCGGTTTGGCTCAGAGGTTAAAGTGTCGGCCTGTGGTCCAGAGAGACCTGGGTTTGGTTCCCGCTAAAGACATGTACCTTGGTTGCAGTTTGTCCCCGGCCCTGGTTGGTCGTATGGGTGGCAGCCACTCGATGTGTCCCTTTCACCTCAATGTTTCTCTCTCTCTCTCTTCCTCTCTCTCCCTCCCACTCTATCTGAACAAAAAATGGGAAAAAAATGTCCTCGCGTGAGGATAAAAAAATTAATAAATAAAATAAAATGTCCAGACAGAGAAGAAAGTCCTAGGGGGTCGCTTTTGAAGAGCAAGGACTGTTGCTTTACAGGTAAGAGAGATGCTGTAACCAGGAAGATGTGTTTTCCCTCAGCTCACCCCGTTTCCTCCAGTTCAGACATCACAGTGCAAATGAATCTCCAGCCCAGTTGCTACAAAATAATGGCAGCCTCAATTACTCCCACCCAAAATATTTGAACTGTGGTTTCTGAAAGTGTCCCGCTCGCTCCTGTGTATGCCGGAGTCGATGCCAGCTGGAACCAGGGAAAGAGCGTGCACCGTGTTCCCAGAGCTTGTCGTTCTGCATGAAGAGCCGCTTGTTCTGAACTCACTAGCACCACCTCCTCGCCCCCCCACTTGCAGACCATATGAAGGTGGAGGTGTGAGGCGACAGAGACAGAGAAATGGCTTTTCTTGTTCTCTTGGGCCTTGAAATGATTCCATTTACATCTCTTCTTACACAAGAAAGAAGACTTGGGCCCAAGAGTATGTTCTATTTGGCTTGGGGAAGAAAATTAGAAATCAGTAAAAAGCTTGAGAGACAGACAAAAGCCAGTAAGGCTGCTGACAGGGGGAAAATCAACCAAATCTGGAGTAGTTAAGGGCAGGTGGCACACTAGACGAGGTCCTTCTGCAAGTCTAAATGATATAGCAGCTAGCCAACCCCTCAGTGACCTTGGCACGGAACATGGGATAATTTTCCCACAACCATTAGCCATTCTCAGGCCATGTTGCTTTCCAGAGTTATTAGTCACAATCAAATGTTCTCCTTCCAGTACAGGACATAAGCTTTCCATCCCATTTCTCCACTCCTTGGCCTGGTGTCATTGTGATCCATAACACATCCAGGGAGAGTGCCAGTCCTCCACCAGAACTCCCCAGGGGCTCTGTGGGTTTAGATAATCCCATTTCAGGAGATTCTCCTTGTTGAAAATCTTTCTCCTGGTTCTTTTCCTTCTCATGGTTGCCAAATGCTATGATTCAGCCAATACACAAGTGAGTGTCTTTGATGGGTGAGAGGAAGTGGAGCAAGTCAGCTAGCAATCTCAAAGCAGACTGTGACCAAAGGGCCGCAGAAATGCTCCTCCTATTAACTTGGGAGCAAAGAGGCCCAAGATTTGTTTGGTTTTTAAGCCAAATAAATGACAGAAAGAAATCTGAAGCAGTGTCTGGCAAGTGAAAGTAACCAAGATTATGTCTGGATGGATGGGGAGAAAAGGCAGGTTTGATGGACAGAGTTATAACAGGTCATAAATATAGAGAAAAACACAGACCAAGCTGCTTCTGATCTCAGCTGTCTGCACTCTGTGGGTTACTATCAGCCTGGGTGAGAGAAGTCAGAATCCATCGTACCTGATAGATACATACACTTGGAGCTTGGGTCAAAGGTGTTGCTACCATTGAAATTCCTGAAAGCCAGTAACTAAAGAAACCTATTTTGTTAGTGATTCCTCATCAAACCTCAGAGAGAATTCCCCTCCTATAAATTTATAAATGCCTGGCATTGCACCTTTCTATTGGAAAGTAAACTCAGAATTAGCAAATAAGGGACACAACATGGGAGTCTGGAAACTGGCAGGTGGATGGTGCCTAAGCTGGCGCTGCCTCTTGTAAGACTGAACCTGGATGCCAGAGTGGGACTCAGCCCCATTGTCCCCAGAGTGTCCCAGGGACCCTGGCCAGTTATTCTTAGAAGAAATTCCAATATCTTTTCATTGTAGGACAATGACCTAGCACTTTTCTAAGCTACTTAGTGGCATTTGGGTAACACCAAGTAAGACTTTAAGGGAAAAGGAGGATCAGGGAAGGTCAAGTCCAGTGTGACTGGGCTCCCCTAAAACTGAAAATGTGGGTCTGCTGAAGGATTCCAATGCCTCAAATGATTAAAGAGCCATAATAGCTTCATGCTGTTTTGCAAGGCAGCAGTCAGCTTCCAAGAGAATAAAGGAAAAAACGGAGGGAAGCCAAGTGAAAATGAACTGATTCTCACTGAGAGCAAAGTCCCCAAACACTGTTAAAACAAAGTGTGTTCTGATGGCTAAGAAGGAAATGCATGGGGACCAAAGTGTGGAAAGAAAAGGATTCCATCTGCCCCAGACAATCAAGAGTCTTTGTAGTATCGGAGAGGTGTCCCAAGACAGTGATTATCTTACTATTTCTCAGGCTCGGGACACTTTTCATATTAGATGGTAGAAGTCACTTCAAAAGGAAAACGTTGTTCTTTTACCTGGAAAAGCAAGAAAGAAGCCTGCAACAAAATGTAGTCGTTTTTACGAGCCTGGAGGAGGCATCTGTCAGTGCTCCTTCCACACATGACCTCCACGTCCAGCCCCCCTCTGGGGCCACCCAAGGCTCTTCTATTTAAACGAACAGTCCCCATGCTGGTCTATATCTTAGACAATTTTACCCAAAAAAGGAAGCACTGACTACATCCCAGCCCATGACATGTGCTCTGGAAGGAACAATCTTTGTCAGTCACTACATGTGTGACCACAGGAAAGTCCTGTGATCTCACCAGCATCTCCCTCCTAATGCAGTGCGTCCCTATGCGATAGATGCCTAGACTGCTGCGAAGAGGCTCTGTGATTATGTTGGTAACTGAACTCTTCCCATGTCCTAACTGGATGCCCAGGGTGGTTAGTAATGGAAGATACTAAGCAGAGGCAGCATGAAGACATCTTTGTTACTGAGTAGTTGTGCATAAAAGTATAAAAGTTCTAATATGATAAAGAAGCAGGAAAGCTTCATTCCAAACTTTATAAGAATCTTAGTAAAAAAAAAAAACAAGCAAACAAAAAACTATATCCTTTGGGGGAAGGGGTTGAAATATGAGGAAGGAAAGGAGGGAGGAAGAGAAGATGGCCAACTAACTGACGGTTTGTTATCAGAAGTCTGAGAATGAGGACTTGGTTGGGAAAGAAGGTGTATTAAATCAACACTCTACCAGGACTTAACTTTTGACCAGAGGCATTTTGTTGGCTTTTCCCCACAAAAGAACCAAAAAATAGTGACTTCCTTGGCTCACTCCTTTTGCCGTATCATGCTTGAAGTGTACTATTTCTCTAGGCTCTACTTAGCTACCTATTTCCTGATGATGCAAAAGGAAGTCCCCTGATAGAAGAGGTAGCTGAGGTTTTCCAGGGGATGCCCTCCTCACAGAGCATGACTCCCAAGGTCTCCATCTCAGCGGTCCCTCTAGTTACCCAGAATTATACAAGACTTGCTTTGAGCCCTGGCCGGTTTGGCTCAGCGGTTAGAGCGTCCACCTGCGGTCCGGAGAGACCCGGGTTCGGTTCCCGCTAAGGGCATGTACCTCGGTTGCAGTTTGTCCCCGGCCCTGGTTGGTCGTGCGGGTGGCAGCCACTCGATGTGTCCCTTTCACATCGATGTTTCCCTCTCTCTCTCTTCCTCTCTCTCCCTCCCACTCTGTCTGTACAAAAAATGCAAAAATGTCCTCGGATGAGGATAAAAAAAAAAAAAAAAAAGACTTGCTTTGAATATTTCACAAATTCCCAAATGCTACTATTCATTCTACACTAATATACAGCAGACCTTCCATGGACCAGGTACTGGGTTAGGTTCTGGGAAGATTCAGACGTGGTCATTGCCCCTCTCAGTCAAGCTGTCTCACACAAGGGTAAGGAAAGAAACATGTGAATAGTCATTATAGTGTAACATACATAACGGGTACCATGAAAAACCCCTTGCTCTGTTATTGCATTTGGCAACCATCTCTCTGTGGTTGAAATAAATTACTGCCTGTGGTTGATAGGCTCGTGTGCTGAAGATTTATAATCATCATGTGAAGACATGTTAGAAATGCTAGGACTATTTGCCTGGCAAGAAAGTCAGGGAAAATAGTGGGTTTTTAAAATATGTTTTTTAATTGATTTGATTTTTTGTTAATCCTCACCCAGGGATATTTTTTTCCATTGATTTTTTTTTAGAAAGAGTGGAAGGGAGGAAGGGAGAGAGAGAGGAAGAAGAAGAGGGAGAGAGAGAGATTGACCAGTTGCCTCCCACATGTGCCCCAACTAGGGCCGAGGATCGAACCTGAGACCCTTCAGTGCGCAGACCAATGCTCTAACTGCTGAACCACACCAGCCAGGGCTAAATAAATTTTAGAAAGAGAGGAAGGGAGAGGGAGAGAAAGAGAGAAAGAGAGAAAGAAACATATCGATGTGAAAGAGAACATTGATCAATTGCCTCCCGCACGAAAGCTGACCTGGGATCAAGCCTGCAACCTGGGCATGTGGCCTGACCGGGAATCAACCATCGATCTTTTGGTAAACAGGACTACACACAACCAATTGAGCCACACCAATCAGGCCAGTGGATTTTTTTGTTTGTTTGTTTTGCTTTTTATCTATGAAGCAGTCTTGTAACCAATAGCAATAACCGCCATTCTCAATTTCTTGCTTTCTGCTCAAAGCAGATCAGAAGAAATGATCGAAGTGTTGAGAAAAGAGGCCTAGGTTAGACACAGGGAAATCCTCTTGTTAATAATGTTATTAAACAGTGGAAGAGACTCCCCAGGATTTGGTGGCCTCTTCCTTCCAGGAGGATTTTGTGAAAAGGAAACTGGCCATCCACATGCACCAAAGGCCTTCTTGGGGCCCAGCAGAGCTGTGAAGAGGGCACCTCAGAAACACAGTGAAGAGTTGGAAAAAAGATACTCCAGAAATGCCCCTTACTTTGACTCCTTTGGGGTCCGCTCACTGGAGATCCCATTCAAAGCCACGTGTGCCTCACATACACACCTAGGGAAAATGGCACTTCCTTCCTGAAAGACTTAAGCTTGCCCTGCCGGCTTGGCAAACAAATCAATGCATTCTTTTCATTGCAGGCAAGTCACTTGGGAGAGGGGCTTTTGGAAAAGTGGTACAAGCAGCTGCATTTGGCATTAAGAAGTCACCCACGTGCCGGACGGTGGCTGTAAAAATGCTAAAAGGTATGGATGCTGGAGTTTGACTTTCCACTGACCCATTGCATTTCCTAAATGTTCATTTCAGTTGGGTGTGCCTGGGAACAGATACAAGCTATGTCTGCTCTGGTCACACAACTTTCTTCCACTGCTGGAGAAAAAGGGCCATGTGCTTAGGGAGGCTTCCAGGCTCTTCGCCTTCTTCCAGCCCTGACACCATCATTGCCCAAGTACCGTGTACTGACATCTCCACCTCGAACAGCTGTTCTTTCCAAAGGGCAGCTATGATAAAACCCTACAAAGACCTGACAGTACTAATCTGAAAGTAGCCAAGAAAGGAGTTTTGTGTCCACAAGTCAGGACTTCCGTTCGAGGTAGACTGCCCTGTGTGAACGCCTCCATTCCAGCGCCCACCCCAGATTCTGCAGAGAAGAGGCATCAACGTGTCTTCTATGTCAGAAAGCATCACACTAGGTACTTTAATGTTTTAGGCTGAACCACTTGAAATTGCCATTTTTCTTATTTTTTTTTCTCTACAGCCGTGTGAGGTAGATATTATTATCCCAGTTTGCAGATGAAGAAATGTGCAAGGCCACACAGCTCCCCAGGGCAGCAGTAAGGGTTTGAGTGCAAGTCCTGTAGAGAGGGAAGTCCTCTTTCCCCCGCACCGCAGCGCCACCAAAGGGTTGCTGGCGCCTCCTGAAAATGGCTCACTGCTCCAAAATCCTGAAAAGGACCCTGGCCTGAGTTCTGGAGGCAATCTAGTATCCAACCTTGAGCTACACTGAAACTAGATCTGGAAGCATCTGCTTCCTCTGCTGGTCCCATTTTCCTGCTTACTACCACACTGTCTCTGGGAAAGGCAAGTCAGCTGTGCTAAAGGGGCATAAGTGCATGAAGGGGTCTGTGAGTTTGAGGAGGGAAATTCTGACCTGAGATTTTTTAAAGGCCCAAAGAATTTGCTCTATGTAATACAGAAATAGCATGTGTAATATATTTATGAATGCTTATCTTTTTTAAGCCATCAGCCTGGGTTGGAAAAGACTGCCAAATCATCCACTAGACAACATTCCTGAAAACCACTTTCATTCAGCTTTCTTGTTTTTAAATTGTTTGGCCATCTGTTTCTAGGAGAAACTGAAAAGGCAGAATGTCAAACAAAGGCCATAAGTCAGAAGCTCTTTCAAAGTGCCCTTGAGCAAAACCTTTAACCTTCTGGGGCCTTGTGCCCATGTCTGAAATGAGAAGAGTAATCATGTTGTTTATTTATCTAACAAATATTTGTTGAAGATCTATGAGCCAATTCCAACCTCACTGGGAGGCTTCCAAAGTTTATCTAATTATTATTAAAAAATGATTTGTGCTTATGAAATACCATTTTGGTCTCTACCACAATGTTAAATGCACATCTTTGACCCATTCCAGGACTATCTATGGAAATACTTGCACATGTGTACAAAGATTACACACAGACTGTTTATTACAGCATTATTTATAATGGCAAAAAAAACTGTAGACAGACTAAATGTTAGGAATGCCATAAATCAATTAAAAAGAATGGAAAGAGTCTCTGACATATTAAAAAGGAAGAAAGGCAAATTATATATATACATACGCACACGCACGCGTACACACACACATAAGCATCCCATTTATATATCATCCCATTTATGTAAAATTTAAAAAAGACTTTGATTGGAGGTATGTGTGTATATATATGTATATATGTATATGTTTATATATATATGTTTATATATTTATAAGCACATAGAAAGGGTCTGAAATTCCAAAAGATTAACAGTAGTTACTTCTAAAAACGTAAGTGGGCTGGAGTGGCTTTCACTTTTTACTCTGTATACATCATACTGTTGAAATAGTTTACAGCAAGATTATGACTTTATTTCTAAAACAACTTAAAATATTTAAACGCCTTAGAAATGAACCAATAAAAACAGACAGAACAAACTTAATTTAGGCCTCAGACTCTGCTAATTCTTAGACTGATGTTGCTTATCTCTGAGAAAGAAAGTGAAGTCAGATGCTCATGGATCCTAACAACTTGAGATAACCCTGTGGACTCCAGGGAGGAAAAGGTTATGGGGAAAAAATAACACAATGCAAAGATGTTTACAGAAGTGGTCATTCTGCCCTTGCAGGTTCTTGTGGCCCTTCTTTGTAATATCTCAAAGAGGGAAAGTTGAGAAAAAGGGGTAAGCTGTGGGCACATCCTGCCTGGAAGGTCCTTTCTGTGTCTGGTTGTGAGAGAGGGAAGCCTTGGGAAGGCGCTTCCACAAGGTGCCCTGCTCTGAGTCAGCACATTACTGACCAGGACTAGGTCCACAGGGGAAAGGTGCGACCACCAACCCCACCAGCACTCTGGGCATTACTGTAATCAAAAGGATGTTGACTCAGGAGGGTGGGAGTAATGAAAAGTCTGGGGACTCGGGCCTTTCTGCAGAATGTGGGGAAGTTAATGAAGCAACAGGCTGAGAGCTACACCGTGGAGGGCGGGAATGCCACTTCCAGCCGAAAGGGCCTCATTGTCCTGTCGCCTTCACTCTTCCTGCTTCTCACAGAGGGGGCCACCGCCAGCGAGTACAAAGCTCTAATGACCGAACTCAAGATCTTGACCCACATTGGCCACCACCTGAATGTGGTCAACCTGCTGGGAGCCTGCACCAAGCAAGGAGGTAAATGCGAAGGGACGGGCCTGCTGCATCTCCGGGTGCTCACGCTAACAGCTGCGTTCTCCAACATCTGGCTTCTTCTCCCCACCCCTGTTCCTCCTCACCTGCTGGAACATGGCCTTTCAGTAGGCCCAGAGGAACCCGTTTTCCATTTATAAAAGGGGGGGGGGGTCCCATCCGAAACGCCTTCCCTGTACAGTTCATTTAAAGGTTATGAAGAGAAGGACAGCCAAGCACTAACCTGTCCATAGGGGAGGATGGAAGGGTCTTCAGGGACAGTCATTCCTTTAGGTGAAGCTCCAAAGGCAATGTGCAACCTTCTCTGCATTCACCCTAGCTCTGGTCACATTCCTCCAAAGTCAGCATCAGAATGACCAGGGCTAATCAGAGACCCACCCCTGCCTGTGCCTCGGCCCGAGGGCAAGATCGCTGGGCCCCAGGCAGCCGGGACGCACTCCCCACTCCCAACCTGTGGAAGCAACTTCCTGCTCTGCAACCGGGGGAGAGGAGGTGCTGTCCGGATCTCTCACAGGTACTTTTAAATCAGCAACGTCCTGACGGAGACACTCGCCCCTCTCCTGAGCAGGCCCGGCGCTGCGAGCCACCTAGGGAGCCTGCGCCTGAGGGCTCCATCGCCACAGCTCCCACCATGCCCCAGGGCAGAAGCCCGCACGCAGCTCCAGGATCGCGCGGCTTTGACCCGGAACCGGAAGTTGTTGGCTGCAGGTCTTGTGCGCAGCCCGGGGCCTGTGGTGGAAGCTCCGGGAAGCGCAGGCGCCAGGCAGGCAGGAGCTAGCCCAGGGCTCCGCGTCCCTGGGACCCGAGATGCAGCTTGGGTTTGGTTTGGTTTTGTTTTCCTTTCCGACCCTCTTGCTTCCTTTTACCCAGGAGTCGATAAACCATGGGGTCAGTCGGTGAACTTAATTTGGCCGTGTTAGTTGGGGGAAACACTCAAGGAGAATATTTTGTGACGTGCGAATTAAATGAAGTTCAAATTTATATGTTCATAAAGTTTTATTGGCGCGCAGCCCCTCATTTCGTTGTGTTGTCCTGTACGGCTGCTTCCGCACCGCCAAGGCGGAACAGAGGAGCTGCCTACCCTGTTTGCCGGCCCTGCTCTGGCCCTTCCCACCAGCCCCACAGCCCGCGCGGACACCCCCAGTGCCTGGGGAGAGACCGGCCAGGCAGACCAGACTGTTTTCTGCACTGGAGGGAGGGGCTGCCTGACAGTCTTGGGGTTGGTGTGACAACATCCCGAGGCCCCTGCACTCACTAAGGTCTGGCTAACAGGCAGAGAAGGTGGCTGGCAGCTACAGGCACTGGCACTGCCCCCTCCGCTGCTCCAAGTTCTTTCTCCTCTTTTCTTTATTTTCTGCTTCTCCCCACTCCCAGTTGTCTCCTGTTCTTTTTGAATTTTTTAATTGAAAAAAATCTAGCACCTTAAGTTGCATTCCTAAACCCCACTAATACAAAGACAAGTTGGTTCGTGGTTTCTCAGGCCCACTGCAGGCTGGCAGATGGACCAGCTCAGTGTGGCTAAGCCTGTGTGTTGTTTTGGCTGCAGGGCCTCTGATGGTGATCGTTGAATATTGCAAATATGGAAATCTATCCAACTACCTCAAAAGCAAAAGAGACTTATTCTTTCTCAACAAGGTAAGGAATTGTAGGGGTTGGACATTTTAAAGAGAATAGTGACTTTGCATTTTAGGCTGTAGCTGCATAAAGCAAGAGGAACCTATATTTTTCCATTAATGACTAAGTTTAAAACCCAATGTCTGCTTTTCCCTCCTTTTGAAAAATTTCCTCCCATGCTAATATATCACACTCTCTTTGTGGACAGCACAGAGAATATTTGATACTAGTATGTGCCGTGATAATAAGGGTTAAAATGTACTAGTCATCTATCTAAATACCTATCAAATCAACTTGATAACTTTAACCCCCTCTCTCCTTCTCTCCTCTCTCTTCCTTTCTCTCCCCAGATACACACACACACACACACACACACACATCACGTAGTCACTTGTTTTTAAAAGATGATAACAAGTGTGATTGTCCCCATTAAATACAGAAATTAAGGACTTTCTTACATGTCTCCACCACCCCTATCACGCATACACATGCACTGAATCAGCCTTATCTGCTAAAATGTAATAAAAGGAATGCATGGGCCCAAGTTATAAAACCAAACCAAGTTTAAAAGATTATTGAATGGAAGAGGAAAGAGTTTAATAAAATGTTGCCAGTGTGACCCATCCCACCAGCGTTGTGTCCTTCTCTGGTCTGGAGAAGCTCGGGAGACAATGATTCAACATTATTAACTGACAATTACCAATGCTGGTGATGAATCTATGTAGTGTGATGGTTAAGCACTCAGACTCAGGAATCAGACTGCCTGTTTTTAAATCTTATTTCTACCACTCATGAGATCTGGGACCTTGAGCAAGTTACTCAATCTCTTTAAATTTCAGTTTCTCATTTATTAAATGGAAGTAATAATAGCACCCAACTCATCATTGAGAGACAGTTAAGCACTCAATGAATGTTTATTATCATCATTGTTATTGACCCAATGAGATAGAAAGAATGGGTGGATCCAACTTAATGTCACTGATCTGTGTGATCTGTATAATAGATTAAGTGTCCAAAATCCATGAATGGTGCCCATCTCTGTCACATGGGCAAGAGTTGTCATGTGGTACACAAATAAGAACCAGTAGACAGCTGGCCCAGTCTCTCATCTCAAACTTTGATTCAACCAAAGACACAGGTGTTCTACCAGACTGGCAGCATATAGCAAGAACAGATTTCCCCCCATTTTAAACCATGTCCTCTCATAATTAGAATCTTAACACTGAAAGAGATCTTTGTAATCAACTAGTTCATACACTCATATTATAGATGTACCCAGAAAAGTTGAGTGATTGGCTTAAGGACACACACCTACCAAGAGATGAAGTTGGGGACGAAGAACCCAGCTCTCTTATCTCCCCTTCCAGTGCTTTTTCTGTGCCCTGTGCTGGCTAAAGAGGGGAGAAAACATAAGAAGTGGAAAGTGGTTCCCTGAGCTGAGAGCAGTGCAAACTCCTTTCCGTCTTGAAATCTGGGCTGGCTTCAGGAAGAACTAAGCCAGCAGAATACCCCAGGGATCAGGGCAGGATGGAACGTTTGGGTTCATGCATCCTTTGTTTTGAAGAGTTTGCTTTCTTCTCTGGCTATATTTAATGATCACCTCCCTGTTGGTGGAGCCTAGTATTACGTGGAAAACACATGGCTATATTTCATATTTGGAACCTAAAGGGATACAAAGAGAAGGTGAAGGAAAAACCAAAAGACTAAATCGAAATAGGATATTTCATTTTCCAAATAAATTCACTGTGTTCTGACAGAGTCCCAAAAGTTCAGTAAATCAACCTTTATGTAAAATAAATGATTACCAATAAGCAAAGCTGAATATACCATTGATTGAGAGTCAGGAAGAGGAGGAAGGAGCTTGAGTTATGGTCCTTGGAGACATGCCCGAGGCTGAGACTTCTGAGAAGTGAGGAAGAAGGCTGCCCAGAGGGTGTTGTCATGGACCTGAGCCATGGGTGGGCCTGTCAGGCACTTTTCTCCCCCATACCCTTGCCAGCACCCTCCTCTGCTACCTTCTGTCCTGGAGAGGTCTTGTAAAAAATAAAATTCCAGTTCCCAACTGAGCAGAATCAAATCGAACTGCCTCAGGGAGACATTGCCACCAGCTCTCAGGTAGGTCACCTGGCGTGGCAGTGGCTGTTCCCTCGGAGGCCTGCCTTCCCTCCGGCAGAACAGAACGGTCTGTGTTCAGGGGCCAGGAGCCTAGTACCCTCCACACTTTTGGAGTTTGTCAGCTGTCCCTCCTGAAGCTCTCTCCTCTGTCCTCTGCTTACTCCCACTGTGCCCTCTGGTGGAGGGATCACTCTTATTTTGCAACATGTCTAGGAAAAGCCAAGGAAGGGCAGGAAGCCTCATTAATCCTAGCACCACCACAGTGTACTGGTAGATCGGGACACCACTGCATCTCAGTCCCTCTCGGCCCAGTTTCTGTATTGCCATCTAGTAGAATTGAGCCTAGGTACATGGTCTTGTCATGAGGCTGCTGGGAGTGCTAAGGTTCTATTGTCACAGTTGTCAGATGAATTACTAAATGTTATAAAAGTATTTTCCGGTCCCACACAAACACCCAGACCAACAACTCATTTGTCTATGAGTCAAAATGTAATAGGATGATAGAGCTTTTCAAATGAGGAAAATGAAACCCAGCAAAGTAAGGTGATTTTCCCAAGATCACATGGCTAATGGAAGAGCTAGAATACACACCAGGGCGTGGAAAAGGATGAAAGGCCTTTCTACCCCTGTTAGGATCTAATTGTATCTTTGTTTTCATTGGAGGAAAAAAGAGAATGTACATGTTCCCTCCTCTCCTAAGGAAACCAGAGAAATTGGAAACTGTAGCCCTCTCTTCTTACTCCTCATAGCGGTTACATAGGGGTGAAGCCCCAAGTTCATGGGGATGCTTTTCTACCATTCATGTCATTTTTCACGAGATGGTGCCTGGTATGGAAAAGTGGTTAAGGACACAGACTAAAGATGGCCAAACCTGAGTTCAAGCTTTGCTATTTACTGGCTGCATGTGACTGATTATTTGACTTCTCTGAACTGGTTTCTTCATGTATAATAAGCAAGTACTACTTCATAGAATTGTTGGAAAGATTAAGTGAGAAATTGTACCTAAAAATTTTAATATCCTGGCTCACACAGAGTAAACTCTCAGTGAGTTCTGGCTGATATTAATACTCCTTTATCCTACCTAAGATGCTGTCTAGAAGCCCAATCAAGAGAAATACAGACTCCACAACCCCAGGAGTGGCCAGGTGCCTGGCCACGAGAAGGCCTTTGCGGGTAATTTACTATCCATTTTGTAGAATGATCTTCTCCCAGCTTAGGTGATCGCCAGCTTGAGAGACGGTCTTCCCCGTTTCGGTTCTGGAGCTCCCTTTCATCTGTGTTCTCCTTGGTCTGTTCCAAGGATGCGGCATTACACATCGAGCCTAAGAAAGAAAAACTAGAGCCAGACGTGGAGCAAAGCAAGAAACCAAGACTAGATAGTGTCACCAGCAGCGAGAGCTTTGCAAGCTCTGGGTTTCAGGAAGATAAAAGTCTGAGTGATGCTGAGGAAGAGGAAGGTAGGTATTAACTCCTTCCTGTCCTACAGTCTGAGATATTTTTATAACATACTGTGCATTTCTGAAATGTTTCTCTTATTTATCACCCTATTAAACATCCGTGGGAGACTCGAAGAGTAATGTCCTGAGGAGATAAGATTTGAATTAAGATAATTTACAGAGTTACTAATTTTGACAGGGATCTCTATACAGTTGTCTCCCCTCAAGCCTTTTTGTCTTAACGGGTCATTCCCCTACCCCCGAGCTTGGGAAAATGGGCTGGAGGCCTGGAAAAATCTCTGATATTCGTTCTGAAACGCAAGTGCTCTTGAAAATGAACTCTGATCCACTTGTTGGTTTGTTTTATGTTTTACTAACATTGTTCCAATAAGCTGGGATTTGGCGGAATAACAAGCAGCATTACAAAGAGCTACGGTTTAATGCTTTCCAGATTCTGACGATTTCTACAAACAGCCCATAACTATGGAAGATCTGATGTCTTACAGTTTTCAAGTAGCCAGAGGCATGGAGTTTTTATCTTCTAGAAAGGTCAGCCTTGCTCTTTACTGTTGCTCTTCTTTGCCAGGCCTGGACATGTGGACATTCACATGGAGACACACACATTTGCTATAAATCCACTTTTCCTAGCATTTGCTTATACTTATGTCCTTAAATATAGAGTAAACATCATGACAGATGCCTGAATTTGTCCTGATAAGAGTGAGGAGTTTTGAGAACACTGAGTCTCAGATACCAGGGGTAGAAATTTAGGGAAGAATCACTGGACAGATTTGGCCCCCACTCTCCACCTTGTCCTTCAGCATATTTGTAGCTCTGGCCAGACAGAACACTGCGCCTCGCAGGCGGGCTGTTAATCCATCCCAGTGGAGTCCTGCGAACGGCAGCTGGAGGATCAAAGGTAGGAGAAGTTGTGCTCCCTGGGAGGACTTGACTGTCACTTCGTTGACCAGGATGCTGTGCTGCAAAACAGTGGCAAAAGCAGATGCAGGCTCTGCCTGCACTTTGGGGCCTCCAGGGGCCTCTGTTTGTAAAGAGGTGCTTCACATTCACGGTAACTCCCTGTGCACTGGGGGCTGCTTCCTTGAATTAAGAAGAAGAATGACACTGAGGAGCCGCAGGAAATTCGACACTTAGATTAAGGAAATGCGTTGATTATGCAACTGTTTCACTCTAGTGCATTCATCGGGACCTGGCAGCACGGAATATTCTTTTATCTGAGAACAACGTGGTGAAGATTTGCGACTTTGGCCTTGCCCGGGATATTTATAAGAACCCTGATTATGTGAGAAAAGGAGATGTAAGTCAGTGTGATGTTTATTTGACTTGTTTGTACTCTGTAATTTTTAAACCACAGACCAACGCCCTTGGTAAATGGTGACACTTCCTCGACAGTGGTCCCTGAAAACCATCGTGCGCTTTGTGTGGAGACCAGCAGACAGGCTGTGTCCAGAGAGCCCTTGTGTGGGCGGCGCGGAAAGGCCAGTCTGGGGTCTGCTCTGCCTCACTCCTGCCTTGGTACCTGTTCTCTGGGCAGAGCTGCCTGATGTCGCTAATCCAAGAAGTGTTTAGCAGGGCCCTGGTCACCTCCCTTTGACTCCGTTGGGAGTTTTTGGAACCACTGGAAAGAACAGCCTGGACTCTTTCCCTCAAATAAACCCGGATGATTGATTCAGCAGGTGTATATATCTCAGGAAAGGGTGGGGGAGGGTATTGGTATTATCTTGCTGTTGAGGAAACTGTCTCCCCCCGCCCTGCCCCCACTTCCATGCCTAGCAGCCCACTGCTGGCTCACACTGGTTTCTCTTCTCTGCTTGTTTGTGGACATGGTGTTGTGTTTCACTTTTGTGGGTGACCTCCTGTGTCCTCTCTTCTCGAGACTGTACCCTGAGGGCTTAAGCCAGTGTCCGGGCTCTGCCGGATCACAGCAGTGGTTCTCAGACTGCAGCACACATACAAATCACCTGAAGTTCGCTGGGCCCCACCCCCAGAAACTCTAATCCAGTAGGTCCTGGGTGGGGCCTAAGGATTGGCCTTTCCAACAAGTTCCGAGGTGCTGCTGGCACAGCTGGTCCTAGGACTCTGCTTCAAGAACCACTACTCCAGTCTCTTTTTATAAAAGAGAAAGAACCCAACACACTTTCCTGGGGAGCCCTGATTGGCAGAGATGGCATCTACCTATGTGTCTATCCTTCTGTTCATCTGTACCTCTTTCAGCTTCCTCCTGACCCTCCCCCTTACCCTTTTTTCTTTGTCTCGCCTGAGTCCTGTACTCGTTCCCATCCATCTGAAGTGGCAAGGCCTGCCCTACTGGGATTCCTGTTGCCTGGAAGAGAACAGACTGTCTGCACACTTGAGAGGCAGCCACCGTCTGCTCAACACACCGCCTTCTTTCTGTCCTGTGCCTTTGCCCACTCCCCCACTCAATGGCTTAAGAATCTTTTTACATAAGAATACCTTTTAAAATCCTACTTCTTAAGAAAAATTTCTGGAAATTAATGGACTTTTAGGGTGTCTTTCAATTCAGATCACTCTTTTCCAGGTCCCTGTGGAATGCAAGTTTTTGGGGGGAGAATGATTTCTTTCGGAGCCATGGAGCTAGCACGTGCTGGGCGCATGGGAGGGGCTCAGTAGTGTCCGTCCTCTCCATAGGGGTGGGTGCAGCACACAGCTGCTTTCAGCACAGCGCCGCACCTCCGGGCCTTCCCCGCCGGGAGCCGCGACTGCTCTGGGAATGCTTTCTGGCCAAGGTTAAGCGGGCACTGGGCTGAATGTGCTTTGTTTGCATGTCCTTCTGCTCAAGGCCCCTTGCCCTTTCCTAGACTCGACTTCCTCTGAAGTGGATGGCTCCTGAATCTATCTTCGACAAGATCTACAGCACCAAGAGCGACGTGTGGTCTTACGGAGTGCTGCTGTGGGAGATCTTCTCCTTAGGTGAGCTCGGCGGCGGAGCTCAGTCAGTCAGGAACCAAATGTTGCTGGGTGTCCTTCGGATAAATACAACCTTTAGGTCAGCACCTGAAAGAACTAAATCCCTCGCAGAGGCGTGGCACGCAGGTCCCGGATGAGGCTGGTGCTGCATGTGTACCCTGCATAGTGGAGATGCTTTATAGAGACGCAGACGAGGCCAGACCAGCGCAAATCTGAAGTCAGGGTTACATTCAGCCATCTGACAGACTCCTTTCTCTGTCCGTTGCCTCCTTCTTCTAATTCCTCAGACACCGGGTTCCTGATGCCCTTCCGTCCGCCCTCCCTAGCATGCCTCTCAGAGTTTCACAGGAAGAGCTCCAACAAGCACAGGTCAGCCAGTGTGAGGAACAGGAGGCCTTTGCAGGGCCACTAACGTTAACACAGCTAGTCCTGGACCCTGGTTGTATTTATCCTGCTTCCAGTAACATCCACTGTGGGGGACTAGAAACCTTGTGCAAGAACCCGAACACGCAGATGTGCACAGAGCCCGCATCTGCTCGCAGACACACACTGATGCTCTGAGGCCTCCCGAGCGTGGGGTCTAGCCAAGAGTCTTTTGGACTTTGCCAAAAATTTGCCTTTTAGAGCAAATAAAAGTCATCCAGTAACATCCCTGGTTTCCTGTAATGTGTGAAAATCATTCCCTGCTTTCGATGACAGGCACCTGTTGCTTCCAGTCTTTGAAAGCGGCTTGGCGGCCACAGTGGCCCGCAGTGACAGCGTGCCAGCACTGCACACCTCCAGCTGCTTCCTACCAGCAGTAATCACTAGGAAGTGCAGACAAACACGCTGACACCAACCAGGTTCGAGGTCTAGAACAGACCAGCCCAGGAGGCCTGGCTCACTACCACCTCTAGCCAAGAAGTCCCCTGAAAGGGAAGGTTACATGGGCACTCTGAACAGTGAAACTGGAAGAAGGTGAAGTCTAGGCCCCCCTGGGACCCGCTGGAGCACAGACTCCTGCCTGCAGGCAACCCCTACATTAGCCTAGCCCTGGAGCTCCAGGCCCCCCTTTCCCTCAGGCCATCCCAGCAACCGAGTCCCCAGTTGTGTGAGAGGTTTACAAGAAAGGAATGGATTCAGATCATTCTCACTGAGGTGTGAATAATCCACAAGTGACCTATTCCAAGACCCTTGGCCTTTTAAAAAGAAGTTTATTAACCTAAGGAATGAGTCTCTAATGATGGGATTTCTTTAGAGTTCCTTGTGGGGAGAGGGAAGGGCCCCTTCAGATGACACCCCCTCTCCTGAGCAAAGGGACAGGAGTAGGCACAGGAATGGCCTGGGGGCAGCAGAACCCAGCACTACTGACCAACCAGACTCACCAGCAGGCACTGGCTGCCCTCAGTACGGGCGGTGCTGGGTGTGGCGATCATGCCAGTCACTGGGCACTGATTCCTAACCCATTACCAGATGGTCACTCTAAGGGAGGAAACAGACCCCCGATGGTGTTTTGTGCCCTGAAGCCATAACCCCGTGCTCTCCCCACTGTCCCGCAGGTGGGTCTCCGTACCCCGGTGTGCAGATGGATGAGGAGTTCTGCAGCCGCCTGAAGGAAGGCATGAGGATGCGGGCTCCTGAGTACGCGACTCCTGAAATGTGAGCCTGGGCCGCCTTCCTTCCCCCCCCCACCGACAGCGCTCCCCCCCAGCAGGCACCTGGGAAAGGGGGTGTTCCATGGAGTTTTAGCCCCCAGGCCCGCTTAGCCTTGGCCAGCTCCACCTGTGCAGGGAGCATCTTCCAGAAGTGAGGCACTGTCCCTGACCCTTCCTTACCAACTCCTCTCCTGACCGCTGCCATGACTTTTCAAGGCCTGCGCTGGGAACTGAACTTAGGAATTCAATTCTAGGTCTGAATCCAGGTAAAACTAACAGACCACCCGGAACTAAGTGTAAGGCCTTGTCCTCACTCACAGAGCAGGAACCAAATGGGCTGAGTCGCCACAGGGCCGAATGCTAGAAGCTGCCGTGCCCAGTCCTCCATCCTCACCAATGACCAGCGAGGGGTTGGGGTGAAAGCAGAGGAAGAGGTAGGAGAGGAAGAGGAGAGTTTCCTGATGGAATTACTAATTACCTCCGCAGGAGGCTCCTGGGGCAAAAGACTGCTTTAGGCTCATTTCCGGAGTCCACTGGGCAGCTGTCTGGAGCTTCTTGAGGTGGCTGCCTGCTGTGCAGCCCTGTGACTCCAGGAAGGTGACAGGCTCTGTGTGAAGGCTTTCTCCACGGTTCCAGGCTTGCTCGGCTCTCTCATGCTTTTTTTTCCTGGAGCTTTGTGGATGTTTTGCACTCCGAGTCCTGAGCAGGAATGTGATGACACTTGCAGTTTTGTTGAGCTGCTGACAAGGACCTGGGCCTCCCAGGGCGGCACCACCTTTCCTGAACTGGCAGGCGGCCCACCCTATCCCACCGACACAATGGGGTCCTGTCAGAAGCCCTGGGATGGCCTTCGGGGAGGAGTCGAAGGGAACGAAGGAAGTGTGGGCTTGGCCACAGTGCAAGGTCACTGTCTCCTTTTTTCATATCTGGAGACCAGGCTAGGTCAGACCCAGGATGAGGACGAGGAGGACAGGGACTCAGGCCTGTGAAGGCCGAGCTACGGAGCCACCCTAGTGTGGAGGGGACCTAGGGGACTGTTGTCCTCTGTCCTTGTCAGGAAACGCAGGGAGCTGTAGGCAAGGCCCCTTTCTGAGAGCTGGGGACAGATAAGTTAGCCACTAGGACTGCAGCGGGCACTGAGAGTTTTTAATTACTTGCTTCCTTTTACCTGCTGGAGAGGGCAAACACGGGAGATCTGGTGTAAAGTGGGAATGCTTTGCACGTTAGGTTTTCTGAGTGTTTCCCCATACCGTCTCTGCAGTTCCCAGCAACCTTGAGCAGGCAGATACATAATCTGACTTGGATAAATCATGAAACTGAGCCTCTGAGAAGTGAAGTGGTTTGTCCTCTGTCAGCTAAGTAGTAGAGGAAACAAATTTAGAAGCCAGTCTTTGGGCTGGTCTCCCTAGATCCCAGGACTGAGAAGTTAGGAATATACCCCGCTGCCTTAGGAGAAACGTTTCCCTAATATGCCCACTCGTGCTTTGAATTAAATATTTCCTTCCACTTTTCACATGATGTGACAATCACAAGAGTGAGTTCTCAGTTACTAACTAACGGTGATAGTAATAACTGCAGTCATTCTTAAACAACATTTAATGGTTATTTAGTGCTTATTGTCAGACACTGTTCTTAGCACTTTTAACATACATTAATTTTTCTAATGCTCATAAAACCCAATAAAGTAGGTACTATGATTATCTCATTTTACAGATGAGAAAACCAAGGCACAGAACATCTGAGTGATTTGCCACATTGCTAGTAAGTTAAGCAAACCCAGCCCGAGTCCAGAGCCCTCAACACTGTGCTACATATCTACAGGGTGTATTTCCAAGTCTCACCGAGCTTCTGGTCCAAAGTGACTGTAGCGGTGCACAGTCCTATCAACTTTGGACTAAAAGCTCCCGTGGACTTTATCAAACCTTCAAGTCTTCGCATAAACCACTCCCAGGTCTCCCTGGTATCCCATGCAGCCACAGGAAGGATTATTTCTTAATTCTGGGGGGTTATTTCAGAAATGATAAAAAGGAAGAAGCAGCTTCATGAAATGTTGGTTCAGAAGGCCAGAATTCAAACCTTCAGCCATTCTCAAGCATTCGAAAGCCGCCGGGGTGAGGATGGAGTGCAGCTCAGAACTGGGATTCTGTGACCAGAACTTGGCCTGAAGCGGCACGCAGTGGGCAGCTTGGGTGATAGCTCCGACAGGAAGCTCTTCCCAGAGGCCCTCGCCCCTGCTTGTTCCAAGAAGGGCTGGTGGGTTGGGTGCAGCTGGTGTCCCTTTACTTTGTTGGTTGGCTGCCCAGAGCATGTTTCATCAGATGTCTTTCAATAAGGGAATAAGCAGTTAATTTTTCTTCTTTTCCTTTGGTGTTTGCTGAGATAATTTGCGTTGAATTTCAGGAAAGTGGAAACTAGAAATCAGAAACCAAGAATCAAAATACAGAACAACAGTAGTCGTAGGTGGCCCCTCTGGCTAGTTTCAGCGCAAAGAACGGGAAGAGCCCGCTCACGGCAGCTCCGGCAGCTGCTTGCTCAGGGCAAAGGGTTCGGGCTGAGAAGCCGGGCCTCTGACCAGTGCTCCCTGTCTCAGGCCCCTTTCCATCCTCCCTCCAGGAATCTGCATTGCTAGAGATAAGCACCTTGGACCATCAGGCCTGAGTGTGGTCAGGTGGGAGCAGGCCCGCCTCTGCCCAGCCCCTGCACTTGGGGTGAGGCATCTGACTTTTCTCTAGTGGCCACCTGTCTCTGTAGTACACTGTTCTGCACCTGTCTTAACAAATTAGTGAAATGTGTAAACTTACCTTAAAATGAGATTCAAACAGTATTGTGCAGACGTGTTTTAGGCTGTTTCAGACCGGTCACAGCAGGCTGGCCCAGGCTGCCTGGATGAGTGCCTTGAGCCCTCTCAGAGGCACTGCTGGTTGGGAGCAGTTAGAGACTTTGGGCACTGCAGCCCTGTCCTGTGTCTCCCAGAGAGCAGGGACAACAGCCAGAGTCAGAGTCCCTTCCTCACCCCCAGCTCCTCTGTAGTTGAGTCCCAGTGCAGTGGTACCTGACATTGGCCCACACGTCACACTCACCAAAGGGCCCTCACAGCACTCGGAACCAGCTGACCCACACCACACCCCCGGGAATCGGGCAGAATAGGTGCAGTAGGTACAGAAACACAGGGTGGGAGGGAACCAGAGGCAACTTCTGAGAAGAGTCTTGACCCATAGGTTTGGACCACCATGGGAGAACTTGCAGTTCAGACAAGTAATTTCTGTGAGCTCCTGTCCCTAACTCAGAAACTTCAGACATCTGCTTACTGGGTACTTGTCAGAAAGCAGAACCTCAACCTCAGTGTCCAACTGGGAGGAAAGCAGAAGATGGCTGAGGACCATGTGGTGCCACCATTCCCCTGGGCATCTCGGATTTTATCCCTGAGTTAAATCAGAACCTCAGGACCCATGCATCTGGACCACACTGCTTTGTTTCTCAGAGCGGTTTTTACTGAATGGCATTTCTTGCTGTCAAGGCTTTGGCCAACTTTAAGAAACAATGTACAAGACAGTCTCACCAAGTCATCATTGCCCAGATGGAAGGATGCTGAGAGCCCCTCTCAGGTGTCCGTTCTAGGAGGGCCGTGCTGTGTCCAAGCACCTGGCTGTCGGGACTCCCGGCTTAGTGCTCCACGGCACCGACGGGCCTGTGCTTGCCAGCTGCCAGACTGCATATTAACTTTCCCTGTAGTTCCGCCTTATTAATCTTTACCTTCTCCCTCATATTCTTTTATTTACCTTCCTATACTCTCACTGTCTTTCCCAGCCACTTCCTGTGCTTTGAAGCCAAATAGGGATGTCCCTCAGAGACACAGGCTGGGAAGTGGCCAAGGACAGAGGAGCGCTGGAGTTGCCCAGCACCCCCTCTTCCTGGGGCAGTGGGACTTCCCTCAGCAAACCTGCACTGAGCGCTTGTGTGCCAGCCCTGGCCTAGGTGAGGGGTGTGGCCATGAGGGTCCCGCCCAGTTCCTATTCTAAACCCATTCAGATTTTGATCCTACTCAGTCTGTGTCCTCTCTAGTCCAGATGATCTTCTGGAGAAGACATTACTTACCATAAACATCTCTTGAAGAGAGCAAAGAACCCAAAGAGAATAAATCCTTAAGGCAGTGTGTGTGCAGACCGCGGTTGTGTCTAGCAAAGGGGGACAGGCAGAGACCTATACTCCCTGCAGACACAACCAAGAGAGGAGCCTAATGCCTTCACTTCTAAGATGTCAGAGGAGAAGAATCATAGAGGGGCCTGCTGACACTGAAATCAGCTTGTTGAAACGCTGGGGGTGAAAATCAGCCATGTGCAAGGGACTTGCACACAGCCCAAGGACACACTCACACTCAATGTGGACTGCCACCTTCTGGCAGTGACCCGAGTCCTGCACACAGGCCTTCTCCATCAGCCTCCGCTGACTTGTGAGGACTTGGAAATGCCACATGCTTATTAGGAAGTCCAAGCCAACCTCTGTCACAGCCTGAGAATAGAATACAAATACGTACCACGAAGTACTCACCACTGATCATATATATCTGTGTGAACTTGTTACCTTTAAGGACTTTGTCCTGCATTGGGCAGTGAAGGGAGAAGTACCACACTTCAGATCTAACTGCAAGTGAACAGTGGTTTTTCCTTTCCAAGTAGCTCTGTTCTTCGCAGAAGAAAGCCCTCCCACCCTGCAGGGCCCAAGGCACTCCAGAGAACTTGGGTCGTGATGGACTCTGGAGGGTGGTTCATTAGTCTGCCTCTGTAGGCACATTTCCCACCAGCAGCAGGGCCTGGCCTAGACAGCCACTTCTGTGTTGGTGCTGCACACCCAAGTCTACAAATAAAGGCAAATATCACACAGAAAGCCTAACCTTGATATGCATGACTGCACCCGTCACCTTGCCGGTGTGACATGTAGGGTGAGCTCCAGCATCGCCACTGCTCTGCAGCCGTTTCTCCTGTGCTTCCGCCCCTCAGCTACCAGATCATGCTGGACTGCTGGCACCGAGACCCCAGAGAAAGGCCGAGATTTGCAGAACTTGTGGAAAAACTAGGAGATTTGCTCCAAGCAAATGTACAACAGGTAAAGCTAAGTTTATTGAGACTATCAGAAGCCAAATGCCTTTTTGAGTATAAGCCAAGGGGGTGTTTTATTTGTTGTTTGAATAGCTGTTAAGAGGTGAGATTAGCAGTAAAAATGGTGTGTGTGTATGCACAATTATCAGAACTCTTTCCAAACACAGCTAAGATTGTAGAGAAACATAGTTGAAACTGACATAATGTTTTGCAAAAACTGGTTGAAGTAGAACTTTCAGCACTTAGAGCTCTGTCTTTGGTATTTTAGGATGGCAAAGACTACATCCCACTAAATGCCATACTGACAGGGAACAGTGGGTTCGCATACCCAGCCTCTGCCTTCCCTGAGGACCACTTCAAGGAAGACAGTTCAGCTCCGAGGTTTAATGTAGGGAGTTCTGATAATGTCAGGTAAGACTCTTCTCTTTCCCCAACTTTGTATTATAATATTTTCAAATGTAACAACAACAACAAAAAAAATCACACCTCCTAAATTCAACCGTGGTTAAGCCCTATTTTGTCTATGTCTACATCTGTGTCTGTTCACAGTCTCTGTGTGTGTTTTTTTCTTTTTACTGAAGCATTTGAAAGCCATTATGACACTGTCCCCCTGAATACTTTGGTACACATCTTGTGAGAAGGACATCCTCCCATGTAACCACACCAGAATTATCACACAATCGCATTGTCTTTGTTTTCTTCAGTTCCTTTAGTCTCTTATTCTAGACTATTTCCTCCCTTTTTTTTTTTCAATGACGGTAACTTTTTTCATGAGACCTTAGATACAATTAAACAAACACACTAGATTTTTGTTGTACCTGATAAATGAACATCTCTCTCATCACTGCGGAGGAAGTTGGAGAAAGGGGCGGGGAGGAACTGTTTGAGAGCCTCCACAACGCACTGGGTGGGTGGTTACATGTGTATCACGCATGCCCAGTATGAACAGTTACACATATGTCACATATTACTGATTGTTACACGTGTCACACATGAGTACTAATGATTATGCATGTATGATACCTCCATACTAATGGTTATACGTGTAGCGTACATGTTCAGTACTAATGATCACACAGACACAGGCTGTGTGTGAATCGGCACTGTGCTCAGCATTTTGCATATATCGACTCCCACAATGCTCAAAACAGTCTTATGAAGGAGATATTATTCATGTTCTGCAGTTGGGGACATTAAGGCTCCATGGAGAACAGCTTGCCCAAATTGTGTCTCTAGAACGCGGCGGGAGAGGGTTTCTAAAACCCCAGGTGCTCTGACTCCCTCCCTGTTCCCATGCAGTCAGGACTCCAGGACTTTGACTGTTCTGTGGGCCTCCTAGCGCCTTTCTCTGCAGTAGAAACCACCCTAGGACTCTGAGCTCAGTTCAGCCAAACTCAGCAGGTGACCAGGGAAGGCAATGGGAAGAGCTGCACAGTCTGAAAAGGTTGGTGGCCTAGAAGCCAGGGGCCAGCCCAGATCAGTGACAATGGGGGGTAGGCCACGTCACTGCATATTTCACAGCCAGGCCAAAACGCTGAAACCGATGAGTCATCCGTTTTTTAAAAATGGGAAAACTAGTTTGGATTAAATAAATTGGCAGGGTCTGACTGGGCCAGAGCTGGGGAACGGGAGTTTTGAAGTTATTCCAGAATGTTGCTTAGCCTGAGGCTCAGTAGAGAGCTTGCCTGAGAAACTGGGCCCTGCAGATGGTGACAGAGTATCAGACTGAGAGACTCAACAGGTAAACTTGCTTAGGAATACCCATATGGTGTATGTCTCTGACGGGTCACCAACAAAAGGTCAGGAGGTAGCGATAGGGAAATCACACAGATATACCCATTTCTCCCAATCTAGAATACAAAGCAGAATGTACATGACTATCTCTAGTACTCAATTATGCCATCAAATCAGCTGTGTGGCCTTACCGGGTCATCGCATTTGTTCCGTCATATCCTCGTAGAAGTGGGCGGCCGCGTGGTAAAGTCATGTCACTCCTCTGGGCGTTGTTTCCTCTCCGTCGTAATGGAGGATGACGACTCAGGTCTCTTCTTGGACTGACATTTTCTGATTCCACAAGGGGCCAGAGGTCTAACCACCACTGAGTCTCTCAAGTCCCTCTGGGGTTTAGCTCAAAACTGCCGTGTGGACTAACAGCCGTGGAGGAAGGTGCATCAGTGCCAGGCCCCTCGGAGAGCTCAGGCTGCAGCAAGGTGATTCCTCCTGGTGTTCTGGTTCATCTTTGCTGAGATGTGGTGCTCATGGTCTCCTGGCTAGTCAAAGCTGGATGCATTTCCCTGTCTTGATTATTCTTCCTGCTTCTTCATTAGATATGTCAATGCATTCCATTTCATGAGCCTGGAGAGAATCAAAACCTTTGGAGAACTTTCACCAGATGTCACCTCCATGCTCGATGTAAGTAATGAACCTACTCCGTGTGCCCTGGCAAGACCTTGTGCCAGGCTGCATCCAATCCAAACTCCGGCAGTCAGTTGGCTCCTGGTCAGTGCAGGCCAGTAATGAATTGTGGCCGAAACGGCAGTTTTGGGGATTGTCAACACGGTTATACAGAGCTCATTTGAGAGCAGGTAAATCCATAGTTTGAAGATGACCCAGAACTTACTCCAGGGTCCATCCAAGTCCTTTTCTGGTCATAATTGAGTTCCTCAGGAAACTCTGTTGTGTGCTTGTAAACTTCTTGGCTACCAGTGATGGGACCCTCCTTCAGGGAACAGGAATTCCAAACTGAGTGACTGGGCTTTGTGATATAACCGAGAACTCCCCCTTTTTTTTTTTTATCCTCACCTGAGGACATTTTTCCATTTTTTTTGTTCAAATAGAGTGGGAGGGAGAGAGAGGAAGAGAGAGAGAGAGAGAAACATCGACGTGAAAGGGACACATCGAGTGGCTGCCACCCACACGATCAACCAGGGCCGGGGACAAACTGCAACCAAGGTACATGCCCTTAGCGGGAACCGAACCCGGGTCTCTCTGGACCGCAGGCCGATGTTCTAACCGCTGAGCTAACCTGGCCAGGGCCAGAGAACTCTCTCTTAAGAGCAGCCTGAGATCCTGGAAGAAGTCTGTCTGGCCTCTGCCCCTTCCCACGAAGGTCCCAGAGGCTGGATCGCCATGTTCCTACCCGGCCACGCTGGGAGGAGCCATCCCTGCAGCCTGGCTCACGGGAGGGCTCTGCCAGCTTCTCTGTTTATTTATTGTAAAGACATGTTTTTATTGATTTTAGAGAAAGAGGAAGGAATAGGGAAAGAGAGAAACAGCAATCAGCTGCCTCCTGCACACCCCCAACTGGGGATCAAGCCCACAACCCAGGCATGTGCCCTGACTGGGAATCAAACCAGCGACCTCTCTGTGCATGGGATGCCGCTCAACCACCGGCCAGGGCAGCCAGCTTGTCTCTTTAAAGCTCTGGGACCTGGGCTTGAGAAAATAGGGAGGAGAGCGCGCTGGGCAAGAGTGCCCGTGGCATCACAGACCCTCGCACTTACAGATAGGCACTGTTGCCCCAGCGGGCTGGAAATGCTGCCTCTCGGGACCTGCCCACACTCACCCAGTCAGGCTGCGTGGTCTGGAGACCCCAGGGGACTCACGAGCACATTAGAGCGTGAGAGGTGCTGGTTAGGACCATGTCCCACGAAGGCTGGACAACCACTGCAGAGAGAAGTGAAGGTCATGACCACGCACAGTGAGGCCTTGAGACATAGCCCAGTTACCGTAAAAACATCAAAACCTCTTTAGACACCCAGGTACAGAGGAAACGATGGTTTAAACGTGTGAAAACATTACAGATAAGCCCAGAATACAAAGGTAACATAGCTGCAAATTTTGTTTTGCTACTTATGCATAGGTTTTAGGTCCAAGGAAATGACACTGAGCAAACATGGACGGTTTCTCTCAACCTTGCCCTCTCCTCCTCACACAGTGGGAAGTAGGGCAGCTTCTTTGCTGGCTTAGGCCTGTCACTGATGATTAAGGACATGAATGCAGCCCAGTGACAGATTCAAAGGGTGACAGGAGCGTAGTGCGGACCCACTTCCTGGAACGGCGCATGAGCAGAGGAATGAGGAGTCTGCACACCCGCGGTGCCCACCACGGACCAAGGAAGCAGAATTGCTGGGACCGTGACCAGGGCAGGCCTGAAGATCCACAGAATCTTTAAGAACAAAATTGAACCACGTCTTTATAATTTCTCAGAATTTTTACATATCATGGCTACCAAATAACAGCACACTGGTAGCCAATAGATAACTGCAGAATTAGCTTTTATATATTTATGCAATAATTTGCATAGATGTTTACTATAAAATATTCTCCTCTGTTACCGCAGGTTCCCCTTTTGTTTTACGTTATTTTCTCCACCTTCAGGAAGAAGGCCTTCAGGGTCACTGGGAATAGGCATTTTTTTGCAGCTGACAGAGCTTAGACTTTACAATATGGAGAAAATGCTCTGACTTAATGGGCAGGGGTGTGGAAGGTGAGGACAGAGCCTGGAGGGACTTCGATGCCCACCCCCCATGTCCTCCCCAGCCTTGGTGTGGACCCCTGTGGGTCAAGCAAGAAGTATAACCTTTTCCCTCTTCCCACCAGGGTCACCAGCTGGACAGTGGCACCCTGCTGGCCACCCCTTTGCTGAAGCGCTTCACCTGGACTGAGAGCAAATCCAAGGCCTCACTAAAGATCGAGTAAGGAAGCGGGTATCTTTTCCTTCATCAGTGATGGAGGGATGCTGGAGATGCTGGGAACGGGGTTGAATGAGGATGTTTGAGAGCTAGTTGCCCTCCTGAACCATAGTGTTCAGGCATTACAGAGAAATACCTTTTTCCCCCCAGAAAGGCAAGAAGGAGGACATAAAATCAGGCATATGAGCACCAAGCTCTGGGAAGAAAAGACGTGGGTTTAAGAAGAGACAATATGTAGGAAATTCCAGCATAGGCCGGCAGCCCACACACACGAAGCGCACGCAGAGCCTCAGGCGAAAGGAGCCTGATCTGCCCACCAAGCAGACCCAACGTCAGACACCTGTGGGGCGGGAGAGGGCCTGTGCCACGACCCCGGGCCAGGGGCATCTGTACCGGAAGGGAGACAGTGCTGTTTCCACCCGAAGACAGGCCAGCCTGAGAGCCACCCTGCAGTGGGGGCTCGCTTCCCCTTTGACCCTGGCCCTCGGCTTCCACAGGGCCCTCTTCACACTCCACTGGCGCACACGTCGCCCCAGCTTCTCCGTGCTGCCCTCTGCCTGGGAGCGCGCTGGGCGGGCAGGGCTGGGCCTAGCCGCCGGCCTTCCCGTCCCGGTTCCGGTGCCCGCCCCGCACACCCACAGGCAGAACCTGCTCCTTCCTCTGAGTCCGGGTCGGTAGACGTTTTCTCAACGGGCAGAGTGAACAGCTCGGCTCTGCCGCTGTGGTGTAAAAGCCGCCCCGACAGTCTGTGAGCAAGGAGGGTGGCTGTGCCCTGTAGACTTCGAAAACAGGCGCCCTGGCCAGTGCGCGCACGGAAGGACGCTTAGCACCACTGGTCATCAGGGACACACGAGTCAGAACCACCGTCAGATATGACTTCACACCCACTGGGTGTGGAGAAATCGGAACCCTGGTGCACTGCTGGTGGGAATGTGACATTCTCCTCTGCTTTGGAAAACAGTCCAGTAGTTTCTCAGAATGCTGAGCAAGCTACTCTGGAACCCTGCCGCCCGTTCTGGTATATACGCAACAGAAGTGAACACTGTCCACGTAAGACCTGCACACCCGCGCTCACGGCAGCTTCATTCAAACCAAAAGATGAACAGCCCAAGTGTCCATCAATTAATGAGTGGTAAATTAAATGCTGCCTGTCAGTGAAAGAATAGTAACTGAAAATAAAAAGTGCGAAGTACTGATACGTGCTGCAACATGGATGGACCTTGGAAACACTGTTAATTAAAAGAAGCCAGTCATACAATACCACATATGGTATGATGCCCAGCACAGGCAAGTCCACAGAAACGGAGTCCGGGCGGTGTCCGGGCGATGGGTGGGAGGCTCGGGGAAGAGGGGCAGCGGAGTGCCCAGGGCATGTAGGGTTGGGGATCACGGGATATTCTGCAGTGGAGTCTCTGACTGCGCCATCTGTGAATGCACGGAACCGCTGACCTGTGCACGTGACACAGGTGGATTGTACAGAAGCTCAGTCACGTCTTGATAAAACCGTCCTTTAAAAACAAAACAGGTCCGGCCCTGGCCAGTTTGGCTCAGTAGTTAGAGATTCGGCCCTTGGATCAATGAGTCACAGGTTCAATTCTGGTCAGGGGCACGTAACTCAGTTGTGGTTCGTCCCCGGCCCCCCGTCGGGTCATGGGGGAGGCAACCAGTTGCTGTGCCTCTATCATATCAATGTTTTTCTCTCTCCATCCCTCTCTCCCACTCTATCTAATGATAAATGGAAAAATATCCTCCAATGAGGAATAAGAAACAAAAACAAAAACAGGCCATGACCATTTTGGCTCAGCCGTTAGAGTGTTGCCCGCGAACCAAAGAGCTGCAGGTTTGATCCCTGGCCCGGTCAGGGTCCTGCGGGAGGCAACTGATCAATGTTTCTCTCTCTCCCCCCACTCCCTCCTCTGTCTCTTAAATTGATGAACATAAAAAAATAAAATAAAAAATACGGAAGATGGAGCAAGTGCTCTACGTGCTAGCCCGCCAGCTAATGTGGTGCGTGGTCTTGCCCTCGTCCCAGCCATTACAGAGAGCCACAGACACGAAGGCACAAGTGAAGCCGTGCTTCCCTCGAGTCTGTGTCAGGCCGGACGGACCAGTAGAACCAGAAGCGAGTCTCCACCTTCAGCCCCTCGGCGATGTTATCCCCACGGCCTACAGCTCTCCTCCGGAAGCAGCGTGACAAGAGGCAGCCGCACCGACCTGTGCGAAACTGTTGGTTTCTTGAGGCCATAACCCTGGTGGCTACAGTGAGAGCTGGATGCTCTTGCAGTTCTGGAGGCCAGAAGCCCCAAACCAAGGTGCTGGCGGCTCGGGGAGAGCTCGCTCCTTGCTGCTCTCAGCTCCCGCTGGCCCCAGCCATTCCTTGGCCGGTGGCCAGTTCTCTGCTCCACCTTCACCCGCTCCTGCCCCTGGCTGGGATCTCCCCTTGCCTCTGGTCTAAGGACGCACCACAGACGCGTCAGGCTGAGCTCCTCCGCGGAAGGTCTCAGCTCAATCACATCTCCTGCTGCTGAGGTGCTACTCGTAGGTGCCAGGGGCTTGGCATCAATATTTTGGGGAGCGTATTTCAGCCCACCACGGTGGTACCTGACCCAAGAGTGGGGGAGAGCTGCCCCTACATCTGGAGCTGTTTCCTCCAGGAAGAGGGGTCTGCATGACCTCGTCGTGCAGTCCAGCCCCAGCCTGTGGGGCACATCCTCCCTCCGGCACCAACTGGAGCGGGCTCAGTGCAGCCCAGAGCCGAGTCTGCCGCCACCCTAGGACGGTTATGAACAAGCGACACCTAAGAGACGGCTTAGCCTTGGCAGGGTAGCTCCGTTGGTGAGTGTTGCCCTGATACACCAAGGTGGCGGGCTGCGGGTTTGATCCTGGTCAGGGCACATACAAGAATCAACAATGGTTCTTTCCCTGCGCCCACGGAGTTGTGTGGAGGTGGAGGCCTGGGTGTGTTCAAGATTCCGCTCCGCCATGACCACCACCACGGCTGCTGCTGGAGGTGTGACGGACGGTCACCCCGCTTCACAGGGAGAGCTGAGCCGCCCCCCACGGTGGCCCAGAGCGGGATTCTCGGGCTGCCAGAGCCTTAGAGCAGCGCCAAGCCCCCCTGTGCCTCCGTCCACTGGGGTGAGCCCGTGCGCGTCACCTTGGCGGAGGCCCTTTGTGTTGAACCCCAAGTCAACCTCATTAAGGATGACGACAAGCAGCAGCTGGGAGAGCGGGTCAGCTCTGCAGAACCCACAGGGAGAACCCCGTGGAGGGCTTGGCTGCCGCTGGGCCGTGGTCAGGGCTGGCAGAGGCTCGGGCAGAGGATGTCACCGAGCAGTACTCGTGCAGGACGTAAACCAACAAACTTGGCTTTTGTTTCTCAAAAAACCCCACAGAAACCAATGAATGCATAAAAAGGTGGAACAACAAATCGATGTTTCTCCCCCCTTCTCTTTCCCTCCTTCCCTCTCTGTCTGTTCCTCTCTCTAAAATCAAGTAAATTTGTTTTCAAAAAAAAAAAAAAAAAAGTGGACTTTAGTATGATTTCAAGAAACTAAATTTGTACATTTGATGTTTTTTTGTTTTTCTTTAGCTTGAGATTGACCAGTAAGAGTAAGGAGTCGGGGCTCCCTGACCTCACCAGGCCTGCGTCCTGCCACCCCAGCTGCGGGCACACCAGCCGGGGCCAGCGCAGGTTCACCTGCGACAGCTCCGAGCTGGAGGCGGTCTCGCGCTGCTCCCCTCCCCCGGACTACAACTCGGTGGTCTTCTGTCCCGCGCCCGTCTCAAGTGTGACCGCCTGACTTCCGGAACCGCATGTATTTATACCCAGAAACAGAGCTTCCGCCAGTATTATACACACAAGTTTGCACCTCTAGCCTTCCACAGGGGCCTGACGCTCTCTGTGATTTTAACAGTGCTTTTGCCTTTTGACTAACAAGAATGTAACCCAGATACATAGAGTAATAGTGACAAGTGAAAGGCACTACTGCTAAACCCTCCAGTCCCGCAGCGTGTTAGAGAAAGTCTTTCAAGCCCAAAGACTTCGTGCTCCTTCCCCCCAGGCCTCAGGGCCGCGGACGCTTCGAGACACACACTGACCATGTGCCGCCATGCACCACACTGGACCAGTGACTGCAGCCCTGGACCGGGGGACACCTGTCCCGAGCTGGCTGAAGCAGTGCCCCTGGGGTCGTCCAGCAGACGTGACGTGAGGAGGACGAGAGGTGGGAGAAATGCAGGGACAACAGGAAGGGCGCAGGAGAGGACTGGAGCTGCACTGCATAGGGAAGGAGTGGGACAGCGCCCCCGAGGCCACTCCAGGGGCGTCCGGACCCGACTGACTGCTCTGTTTGCCAACCAGCCGGAGGCTGATCGAATAGAGGGATGAGGGGCCTCTTCTGTTCTGGGAGGCGAGAAAAGGATGAACCTTTTTGGGAACAACAAAGCACATTTTAAAACAGCGACAGGACTGTTTCTCTGCCCATCCCCTGTACGGCACCCTTTGTACTTCCAGCCCTGGAGCGGGTGCTCGTCCCTGAGCTGCCGGCCCCCCGGGGAGACCCTGAGCTGACCTGAGCTGCGGTGGCGCCAGTGGGCTGTGTCGTGGGTCAATCGCTGTCGGCTCACTGAACACCTGGCCTGTCAGGGTTGTCTGCTGGGGTTGTCTGCTTAAGGCCCCCATTTAAAAAAGTAACACCAGTCTATTATGAGTGTTAATGTATAGTCAAGACATCAGCCTGCCCGGTACAGTTTCAGCACGCAGTCTTGGAGGGCGCTCCGCACAGACCAGGGCAGAGGACCAGCCAGGCCGAGGGCCCAGACCACCGCCTGCAAGTTGGGACCTGAAGGATAGGAGTCAGTCGTGTGTTTTTTTTATTTAACAGGGAGTCCATTATCCAGTCTGTCTCCTGGAAAGATGTGTTAGAGCATTAACCAAGGCTTATTAAGCACTTTATGCTCCTTGAGAGAAAAGGTGGTAAGACACTTCTGAATCGGGACTCAAGATATTAACCAGCCATCGATAGGAGAAAGCCTCTTTCCTCTGCTTTGGACCTTGCCTTGGCCTGAGGATGCTGGAAACAGCACAGGGTACACAGGGTGCCTGCCTTCAGGGCGAAGAGCCCTGGTCTCCCGCAGGCTCCGCCTGACGCTCTCTCTGCGTCAGGATGTCCGGAGCCTGTCCAAGCTCCCCGGCAACAGCGACCTGCTCGGGCAGAGAGCACACAGTCCTCTGGATGCCCGTGACGAACTCTGGAACCTGAAGTACCAGTGATGGCAGTGCCCTTCCCGTGCCAGCTCGTGTCAGGTTCTTTGTGCGGAGCTGGGGACTGGGCCTCCCCCAGGGGACAGCAGGCTTCTGGTCGCTCTGCTGCAGCTGAGCAGGGGGTCAGGCACCCCCACCAAGAACAGAGTCCGAACAAAATCCGGCCAGAGGGCAAGATGTGTTCTCCCTCTTCTTCACCAACCGAAAGCACCTGTCATCGTGTGAACCAGGTAACCGAGAGAAGATTCGACACAGGGAAGGTAAAAGACCTCAATCAGTTCTCGTTTTTTCGAATCAGATAAGGATTCTGCATTAGTGAAAACGAAGAGAAACCTTAGCGATATGTATAATGTCTTGATTTCAACTATCTCATTCTTAACTACTGAGACCTTAGTAATACCATCTCACCAAAAGAAAGACTGTTCACTCCGTTCACTCAGGTTGAAAGCCTCAGGTTTGTAGCCTACGAGTCCATCCGTCAGAAAAGGGTCCCACCGGGAGCGGCGTGGGACAGAAACGGACTCGCAGTCGGGGCGCCTGTGGTCACGTGGTGCTGGCCACGGCGAGCTCGTTAGCACAGCACTGAACACTGGAGCACTAGCTGATGGTGTTACTGGAATCGGGTCGCTTAGGACAAACACGGCTGGCAGCGACAAGAGCCAACACTTCTGTTCAGGGTTCGTGAGACAAAGTGCATGGAACAGCACGGGCGGAAGGGGACAGCCCACGTGTATGTGTGCAGCTCCTCTGTCTGAGAGAGGATGCCAGACCTTGTCTGAGCCCATGCAGCGTACTTGCCCAAACCCTGAACACGGTTACTTAGGTCTTCCAGCTGGGCCTTACTTCCCAGCCCCAAGAATGTCCAGCACGGACACACATTTGCAGCCCCTTTGAGCTGATTAGAGGAGCGTCTCTGACTGACAGTGGTGGAGACGGTGTGTGTGTGTGTGTGTGTGTGTGTGAGTGTGTGTGTGTGTGTGTGTGCGTGCGCGTGTGTGTTTTGTGCAGAACTATTTAAGGAAACTGGAATTTTAAAGTTACTGTTATACAAAAAGAATGTATGCTGCAGATATAAGACAGACATAATTTGGTCCTATATATGTAGTCACTGAATGTATTTTATATACTCTCCTTATATAATAAAGTTAATTTCCAAAAACATTTACGTGTTTTCTTTCTGATTTTCTTATAAATGAGAACAGGAGTCACAGGTCTCTCGGGGCTGGGAACTGGTGTTCTGGGGGAGCCCATTCGAGACCAGGCCCAACAGCACAAGAAGAGAAGCGGGCACTGCCAGGGCCGCGGCCAGGACATGGCTGCCCTGAACCACCGGGCTGCAGACAGGACACAAGATCAAACTAGGCAGGTTGCCCAGAAAACTAAACACTGAAATGAGTGAGCTCACACGTAAAATGTACCGACCGAGTGCTGGCTGCAGACGAAAGTGCCCTCAATTTTAAATGAGGCAGCTTTTTCCAACACCCATTTTCCACTAATAAACAATTACCATAACGACAGGATTAGTATGCGCGTGCGCGTGCGCGCGCTCGCGTGTGTGTGTGTGTGTGTGTGTGTGTGTGTGTGTGTGTGTGTGTATTAGAGGCTGTGTGCAGGAAACCACACAAAATAATTAGGCAAAAGCCCAAGACAAGAACTTCCCTAAGTACACTGAGTCCTCTTCAGTTTTGTGGATTAAATCTTAAGAGGACAAGTCAATCACTATCAACATAGAGTAAGTGGCCAACATGCTGTCTTGGGAAGTGGTCATACCATCACCGTCCCAATAACACAAGGACACTAGACTGGACAGACGCTGTGAGGGAACACAGACCAGCTTTCTTCCGGACAAAGGAGAAAAAAAGAGGACAAATGACGAATCTCAGTGAATGTGTGGTAACTGGAGAGGGCAAGAGGCATTTTATCTTCAGAACTTTTAAATTCTTTAAAAATATTATTGGTTTTCATAACATAAGCGTCCAGTCACTCATTTAGGCAATGATGTGAAGAATGTTTGAAGAATTGGTGTCACGTCATAGTTTAGAAATTTTCTCATGACCTGGAAACTTATAGTTCATTTGGGAATTGATTTTTTTCTTTCGTCCAGCAGAAGCTGACCAGTAAGGTTTACTAGAGTCCTTGGTGTTAAACACATTAAAGACTTTTTTTATTTCACAGGCCAGGAAGTTTTTCAAAAATATCCTAGGTCCCAACACAAGAATGACTAGCTTTCTATTTTTTTGAGCTAAAGACATTTAAGGGGAAAAAAAAGGGGCAAAATAAACCAAAAACCGACTAGAGGACACTAACATTCCAGTTCTTAAGCTGGGAAGATACACAAGTGTTCCCTTTGTGATAATTTGTTGAGCTACATGCTTATTTGCAAATGTGTACGTGCTAGTCTTCAATAAAAGATGATCTTAAAAATCCCATTTTAAAAGGGACTAGTAGAGGCTTAACCTCCGACTAAAACATATTAACTTTCTGTGCCAGCAGAAAGTTAAATACTTTAAAGGAAAAAACTAATTTTCAAAGCCATCCAATGTGATGTGATATTAGTGAACCTTCATGTCGACAGGAAAATGGAACAAGAGAACTTCCGAACCCCACCATCACCCCCCTCCCCCAGCACCTGTGCTCACCCCTCGCCTTCCCTTTCCGACCCAGCACAGACCGGCGCCTGCCCCCTCCCCGCGCACAAGGACGCTGTTCTAGCAGCTCCACTCCCTCCCCCACCCGCTTCCCCTCCCCCGGTCGTCCCTTACCTTACAGAACAAGTTACAGCCCCACTTCCCCTCAGCTACCACCCGGGCTCCCTACTCCTCCTTACAGCAATATTCCTGGAAAGAGTTGGGGATACTCCTCACTTTACATTCCTCCCCTCCAGGCCCTTTAACCTCCCCCCACCCCCGGGGCCCAGTGCTCAGTCACACGCACAGAGACTGCTCTCCCCAGGTTATCAGTGGCCTCCATAGGGCTAAACCCAATGGCCCATTTGCGGTCTCAATCTTTCTTGACCCATCAACGACTTGACCCTTATTCCTGAAAACACCTAAATACCTTTTAACGTTGATTCCAGGACATCACACATTTTCTTCCCATCTCACTGGTCACTGATGTCTTGCTCACTAGTTTTCTTTTCTCTGACTTGGAACATCGTTCCAGCTACCCCCGTGTTTTGCCCTTGGGCCTTGGCTCAGTCTGCGCCGACTGCGTGGTCTCAGCGTCTCAGGGCTTTGTGACAGCTGTAAGCTGCACCAGGGGCCAGACCTCTGCCCCCCTCCCAAGGCAGGTGTGTGCTGGGCAGGCTGTTTCCCAGGACAGCGGCAGCGTATCTCCTGAACCCCACATGGCCTTTGCATCTGTCACGTCCCCTTAAATTCCACTCCCTCAGAATCAGAGCTGGCTTTGTGACTCATTCGTAACCAACAGAATGTGGCAGAAGTGACACCACATGACCCAGAGGCCAGGTCCACGAACAAATCGTGCATTTCCTGTCCTGTGGCACACTCGTCCCCCAAGAGCTCCCACCAGAGACCCAGTCACCAGGCCTGGACCAGCTGAGCCCAGGCCCTGGAATTCCCCAGGGGGGCCTGAGCGGACTGAGAGAGACTATCCGGCTGTGCCCTGCCCACATTCCTGACCCCAGAGCCCCGAGGATAAGAAAATGGTTGTTTTATGCCATTACGTTTGGAGTTGCTTATTACCAAACCAGAACAACTGTTACTTAGCACCTCAAACTTAACAGGCCCCGGACCAAACTCACAGCTCTTTCCCCACTCCCCCTGCTCCCCGCCCTGCCGCCCCAAACCCTCTGTCCCTGACAGTCTCCTCCAGTGCAGTGCAGCCCTCCCCCAGCAATGGGCCGGAATCTTCGACTTCCCTCTTCTTGCTCCATGTCCAATAGATCAGGACATCCAGTGGGCGCCCCCTTAACATACACGCAGAGCCCCGCCACCTCACCCCGCCTCTTCTGCTGTCACTCCGGGCCAAGACCCTGCCATCGTGCTCACAGCAAGACATGCTAACCAGCAGCCAAAGGGCTCCTCGCAAACCCTGCAGCGAGCCCCTCTGCTCCCAATCCTCCTGCGGGATCCCCTTTCACTGAGAGTAAAAGCCCAAAGGGTTTTGAATGATTGACAGGACACTTCTTCCCTCGTTACCTTTGTCTTCACTTCTGACCACTCCTCCAGCCGCATGGCCTTCCTGCCCGTCTTCGGGCGCCCAGGCACATGTGCAGACCTGTCATTCCGCTCCCTCAGCGCCCGCATGGCTGCTGCCCCGCACTGGAAGTCCTTGCTCAACCGGGAGCCACCACACGCCATCCCATGTGAAACTCTATCACTGCCACCATACCCCACATCGAGTTACCAGATGAAACTCAGGGTGGCCAGTTACATTTGAATTGCAGCTAAATATTTTTAATTTTTTTATTGGGGTGACATTGGTTAATAAAATCATATGGGTTTCAGATATGCAATTCTGTAACACATCATCTGTGTGCTGTACTGTGTTCACCACCCCAGTCTCCTTCCGTCACCACTTACCCCGCGTGGGCCTCTTCCACCTCCCCCGCACTGCGTCCATGAGTCTGTTCTTTGTCCTTAATCCCTTCACCCCTCTTACCCAGAGAATTTAACTTAACTATGTCCCATGCAATACTTAAGACATAATCATGCTAACAAAAATTATGTTTATCCAAAATTCAACTTGGAGTTCTCTATTTTTATTTGCTAAAGCTGGCAACCCCACCCACATCCTTTCCTCCACGCTCTTTTCTTCCCATAACCATTGTTTCTTCTCAACAACTCCACACCTTGTCCTCTTCCTGCTGGAACGAGAGCTCGGTGGGAGCAGGAATGCCGTCCGCGGTAGCCAGCTGTTCGGCTCCCAGGACAATGCCCGACATAGTAAGCATTCAACAAATAATTCACGACCGAGTGGCTCTGAATTCATCCAACTGTGGCACTAAGTGGGCACGGGGCTTGCCCACCATCACGGGGCTCTCGATGGTACAGCCGGTATTGGGCTCAGGTGGTCTTGTTCCGGCAACCTGGTTTCCTAACCACCAGGCATCTTGTTTAAAATACACTTTAAGGACATGCATTTTTAAATCCCCTTTCCGCATTTTTAAATCTACTCACCCCATTTTTATAGAAGGCTATTTTACAGATGGGTCCTAATCATGCACTTGCTAAGGGTGGAGGCAGAGAACCCCCTTTTTTTCCCATTCCGAGCACAGGAGATGAAAACAATACAGCGTAGAATCTCCA